AGTGTTGGTCCACAGCGCAAACATATTAGTTTAACAAAATCCGCATCTAAAGATACGTTATTTTCCCCTGTGCAATTCCAGTCTCACATCTCACAGCACATCGTCATTAACAAATACTAGAAACAGACCGAAAACATTTAAAAAAAATTAAATAATACTTTATTCCGAGTGTGCTTGCTTTTCTCTTTGAAAGTCATCACATAACGGCATTGTAATACACGGTTCGGCTGCATTAAATATTACATATCTGCCGTAGTTCTGTATTTATAGAGCCCTGATGAGAAGACTTCTAGACAAACATGAGGAACTGAAAACGTGACGTGGATCATAAATATATCAGCAATTAAACAACATCTTACATTTCTTTTCACACAATACGTCTCCTTGCAGTATCAACACTAATTCGGCTGACTTTTATATTTGATCCAATTGGTAGATAGGCTGTATTTACACCATAAAGGTGCACAGCTGATATAAAGGGATACCTAGTGGTTAAAGCATGTTATTGAAATGTATTATTTTTATTATTAGATATTAATAGGATCCCTATAAAGTATATTCATTACTCGTTATTCTCTACTAATAGTTCATTAAAGTCTGTATATAATGACTATTTTGCACATCCCTTTCAAGATTTCAAGATTTTCTAAGGTTTATTGACATATCATATTCACAAACGGTGTAGTTATGCATTGAATGAAAAACTTGGGTAGCAGGTTCCTCAATAGTGCATTCCAAGACATCTATCAATATTTGTGCATACCTCCAGCAATGTTTACTATGTTGAAGCACTTATTTTAACTGATATTATACATATGTATTATACTCTTATAAGATGTATGTAGATATTTAATCTCCGGACTTGTCAGGTATTGAACAATCAATAAATAAAGAACACATAATTGTTAAATATAAAACACAGAATTTGTGTGATTATACTAAATGATTTACAAATAAACACCACTGCATATTTACAACTGTTACACATGCTGATGTAACGCAAATGTTTCCAACTTGGGATCAATAAAGTATATCTTATCTTAAGCTGATTGATGGCTACTGCCATATTTGCAAAATGTGCCTCTGAACCTTGACAAGTGCATGTTTCAGGCTTATCAATGAATGTAATGTAATGTTATCAATTAACAACAGGAGGGGTCACAAACATAAGACCAGCTGTTAAATAAAGCTCTTCTGACCGGCATGTGGGTATATATATTAATGCTGCCCATTATGGGCACAAGGAATTTTCACCCATTTATTAATTATATGTTTTAAATGTGAGTGTTTCCTATCCCCTAAACCTCCAGGGATGTACACAGTTTAATACTGGCAACTTCTTATTATGGGAAATATGAAAACGTCTTTTAAAACTACAACTCCCAGTAGAGACGTGCCATAGATAGAGAACATGTTGCGAAACACAATAGCCAGCATGTGTAGTTCTGGGGACGGGGTGGGGGAGGGGGTATGCGGTGGACCCGTTCAAATCCAGTTTTGGACAGTCTGCCGTGGTTCCATCCCATTTTCATTTCATTTCAAACCTTTATTTATACAGATAAATCCCATTGAGATCAGTGATCTCTTTTTCAAGAGAGACCTGCTCAAGTAGTTCCACATGAAACATAAAAACATAAATAGAACAACAAAAGGACATCATACAGCATAATTTACATAATTATCCACATAAACAGGTACCAATAGCTTCCGATTGAGTCGCATCCAACCGAGCTTTAAAAACATTTAGTGACACCAGATTGTTCAGTTTCCATTTAATTTGCAGACTATTCCAAGACAGAGGAGCTGCGCATCTAAAAGCTGTCTTCCCTAAGACAGTCCTAGCAGTTGGCACATTTAATAAAACCACAGCATTCGATCTCAGGCAGTAGCCACTTACAATTTTCCGTGAGATCAGGGAGCAGATATAAGATGGAAGTTTCCCTAACATGGCTTTGTATATAAAAATGTACCAGTGACTGAGCCTCCGTACAGTTAGTGAAAGCAAACCAGCCCTTGCATACAGGGTACAGTGATGGGTTAATGCTTTACAGTTTGTCACAAATCTCAGTACGCTGTGATACGCAGCATCTAACTTGACCAGGCAATTGGCAGGTGCATTCATATACATCAAATCACCATAGTCCAGCACAGGTAAAAAGGTCACAGTGACTAGCCTTTTCCTGGCCTCAAGCGAGAAACAGGACTTGTTCCTGTAGAAGAAACCTAGCCTAACCCTCAGCTTTTTAAGCAGGTTATTGACATGAAGTTTAAAAGTGAGACAATCATCAAGCCAGATACCAAGGTATTTGTAACAGGTAACCACTTCAAGTTTTATTCCTTGCATAGTTACAATATCTAAAACAGGCTCTGGTGTCTTTTTAGCTTTAGAAAAGAGCATTACCTTGGTTTTCTCAACATTTAAAAGAAGCTTTAGTTCAGAGAGCTGAGTCTGAATAATGTTAAAAACAGCCTGTAATTTAACACTAGCCTCCTTAATGGAGGGACCTGCACAGTACATCACGGTATCATCCGCATAAAAATGTAAAGTAGCTTCATCCACATTTTCACCTAAACTGTTGATGTAGATGGAGAATAAAAGTGGACCTAAAACAGAACTTTGGGGAACACCATTTGCAATGTTCAACCACTCAGAAGACAGCCCATCAAAATGAACACATTGGGACCTTTCAGAGAGGTAGTTTACAAACCACCCCACTGCATGGCTGGACATGCCTATACTGGCTAGCCTCTGCTTTAAAATGTGATGATTGACGGTATCAAACGCTTTGGACAGGTCAATAAATAGAGCTGCACAACTCTGCTTATTATCTCAAATACTCGCCACATCATTCACCACTTTCATTGTGGCAGTAATGGTGCTATGTTGTTTTCTGAAGCCTGACTGATGTTCAGACAGGATGTCATTTGTACATAAAAACACCTTTACCTGTTCACTCACTAAGCGTTCAAGAACCTTAGTCAGAACTGACAACTTAGAGATTGGCCTATAATTATTTAATAAGGTGGCCTCCCCTCCTTTTAGCAAAGGCAGGACATACGCTGACTTCCACAATTTTGGAATTGTGTTAGTGCTGAGGGAGAGGTTAAAAAGAGTGGTGAGAGGTGGAGCAATAAAATCTGCAGCTATCTTTAAAAAGAAAGGTTCTACGTTGTCCGGGCCAGCCGGTTTCTTAGGATCTAACTTGGTTAAAGCTTCACGAACAACATCAACAGTAAAAGGGGTAAAACTGAAAGGGTTTTCCAACACACATTTTTCAGAGTCACATACTGTAGTGTTCACAGAAGCAGAGTTCAAACCGGAGAGACGTGATGTAAGAATTACATATGTATTGTTTACACGTCATATGAATGAAATGATTGCCATGATAATACAACAGGAGAATGTAATGGTGTTTGGCGATTAGGCCCCGGTTTGCAGAATAATCATTCAGGAGGGAAAGAACCGCTCCGATGAAATCCCCGGGGTCTAGACACTGGTGGTGGTGATGAGTAGGTGAGACCGGTCTGAAGGAGGAAGGTTTAGCTTTGTCCTGAAGGAGACAGGAGGCGAGAGGGGTGGAGGCGGGTTGCGTGTGATCATCTGCAATGACAACTGACAGGGAGGAAGAGCAGGCATTTAAGGAATTTAGCATGTGCAGCGATTGGCTGCTGAGGGGTGACGCCCTCATATTTAATGAGGGGGGAAGGGAGCCATAGAGTGACGTGTAAGTGACTCGTGTTAGGTCTTCCTTATTGAACTTGCGCTAAAGCTTTCATTTAGTGACAGAATCAAATAGAGAACCACAGGACACAAAATGCTCATTAAAGCAATTTAGCATAGTAGCCCTGTCCAATATAGAGCCAGATGCTGTGGTAATGCGCGGAGGTAGCTCATTACGGATATCGCCGGTGGATAACGATTTAATGGCTTTCCAACATTTTCCAGGATTATTCAGATTCTTTGTGGTTACTGACAGATAGTACTTTGATTTAGCACTTTTGATATGTGAAGTGAAGCTATTCCTTAGCTGCCTAAAATGCAGCCATTCTACCTCTGAGCCTGATTTCCTAGCCTTTGCCCAGGCCTTGTTTCTCTCATGAAGGAGACTGGACAGATTAGCAGAAAACCAAGGATTGTCTCGTCCCTTTACTCTAAATGTACGCAGGGGTGCATGTCTATTAATGATCTCCATAAAACCAAGATAAAAATAAGACCATGCTGTTTCTACATCAGCACACAGATCGATTTTACCCCATCGATCCGGGTGTACAATTCTCCGTTATCCAATGGGAATGGACGCTCACATTGCCTTTAAGGGCAGCCGACACAAACGAATGCCGTGCTTCCATGAGCGTCAAATCCCGCCGCAGATGGGAATACATTGCAATCAGTTGAAAGCTATTTGCGTCCCTTTATGAAGCTGAAGGAGCCTAGGAGCGTCACAACTGCACGCCACGGGACCCTGACCAAACGTCGCTCCTGGACGATTATGGAGTGAGAGTGTGTTGTGTTAGAGATTTAAAGGGATAACTGGTCTGCTTTTCAAATCTCCGCGCGTCCCTATCAAGCTGGTTATAATACAGGAAGGAATCCAGAGCTACCAAGTAACCGTTAAACAATAATCTACTTTAATGGTAATATGACAATGCAATACAATCAATACAGTACAAATTCAATACAGTTACCTTTGGGATCCCGAATTTACCTGCACGTGAGCCAGCCAGAGGAAAGAGACTGAACACAGCGTGTGTCTCTGTTTTTATACTTAACCCTTAAAGACCTAGACGGAATTTTCGCCTGCCTGACTCTCCTGTATTTATTTGTTTCTCCTAACCTGTTCTAACCTTTTCTTGCAGTCAGCATCAAGTGCCTTACCTCATTTGATTCAGGAGAACCTCTAGTTCAAGTCTGGCTAATTTGAAGTCCAAATTTTACCATAACTTTGTGTGATAATGGCTGAATTTACCAGCACTTTTCAAAAACGCCAGTACAAATGTTGTGTTTTTTTACTGTTTACTCCGCCAGGAACATAGGGATTTTCTTTTTTATTATTTACAAAGCTGCATTTAGATGTTTTAGGCTTTCAAATTAAATTTCATCTGCATATTATGTTCCCTGAGCAAGTTACAGCTATTTATTACAATATTATCCTAGGCGTTTTTCACTGAAAAACACCTAGGATCATATGGAATAATTAAAACGAAATGTATTTCCATATTTAAATGACTGATCATGTTTCTTCTGTCAAAAAAAGGTTGAGAGAGTAAACAATTAAACCATAACAGATGACATTGCAACAAAAATAACTTGTTTCAGAGATATATATTATAATTTGAACATTGAAATACAAACACAAACAGTGAAACAAATTCAAAGTGCAAATTAACAAAGTGCAAATTATATTAAAACTATAAACAAAGTATTAGGAATATATAGAAAGTGCAAAAGTACAAAGAGCAAATGATCTTCAAACTATAACCAAAATATTAGAAAAATATATAAAGAGCAAAGGAAATGTATCAAGATTCATCATGGTCTGGGTCGCTCAGATGTACAGCTCTGCTGATTGCCATGAACCTGTCTCTTGTCATGATAGAAGCAGGAAAGAGAACACTCAGGTGTGATCCCTTCCTCCAGTAGTCTCTTACTTTGAGCAGTTTTAGAAGTGCCATGAACATCATAAGGCCGACATACATGAGGAATTTTACCGGCTTTCCCAAACAAACTTTTCCCCCTTAGCCTGCTCCTTTTCAGCATTTTTGTTTGTGTTCTTGCAGATGATATTTACAGCTTGGTTGTTAAAACAATTTCTAAATATTTGTGCAGGAGTATACTCCACACCAACAAAACCTTGGACTCCAGGGGCTCTTTTCGGGCAAAAGTGTGGTAGTTGTTGGGCAGTATCTGGCACGTTCCAAACAGCTCCTGGCTCTTCTGGGGTCAGAGATGTTTTTTTCCCTTTCCCTCTTCCTCTCCCTTTCACTGTCAGGGGGGCTGGCATTGGTTTGGCCTTTTTTCTGGATGCTGCACCCTCCTGGCCGCATTCTTTTCCCTCTCGGTTTGAAGGAGGCCTACTGATGGGGACAGTGGCTTGTGCATCCCCTCTCTCATCCTCTGTCCTAAAATAAAAGGGAGGAAAATATACAGATATAAATGTCTGAATTTATTTTATTTCCTTTATTGCTTTTATTTCTCCAGTGTCATCCTATCTGTTTTCTAAACACAGTCTCAACTTTTGATTTGATTCACACTTTATCCCTCTGCTAACATTACTAGTTGATGGAATCAGTAACTGAATTGTAATGCAATGAATATAATAACATTAGACCTCATAACAAACAACCAAAGAGGGCAAGCGGAATGAGGCAATAAATGAAAGGTATTGCTTGACGTTTTTTTACTGAAATAAATAGTAGCCTCTATTGATAGTGAATCTTGAGCTCAGGACTTCACTTTATGACACAATTACGGCAAATGGCCATCCATTATAAAAACTCTTAGGACTAATTATTTTCGGCGTTATACAGCAACAACAACCGATAAATGCAACACAAACAATAAGAAATAAGCAAAGTTACTCACTTTTTTATCTTCGAAGGGATCAATCCCGTGATCATACTCCTCTTCCTTGCCAGTTGTCAGCTTCAGAATCTGAGGAATCCACCGCTGCATCGCTAAGCGGTCCGCCAGACAAAATAAATTCTACGGTTTCTTCCGTAGTGTAACGCCGTTTTGACATGTTGGTTTGAATTTGTCTTGGGATATGTGTGTGTGTGTGTGTGTGTGTGTGTGTGTGTGTGTGTGTGTGTATATATTTGTGTGTGTGTGTGTGTGTGTGTGTGTGTGTGTGTGTGTGTGTGTGTGTGTGTGTGTGTGTGTGTGTGTGTGTGTGTGTGTGTGTGTGTGTGTGTGTGTGTGTGTGTGTGTGTGTGTGTGTGTGACTGTATCTAGATATCTTGTGTTGTATGTATTTCTCTTACGCTGGCAGAATTACTCTTCTTTAGTATTACTCTCTCGTCTCTCTGTTTCTCTTTGTTTATCTCCCGCCGCCAAAAACATACACAGCAACCTATGTTGATTGGTCGAGAAGATGGTAGCATGGGCAGAGGTTTGCCTGGACCTTTACATTTTAAACCTATCCGGACACAGGGGGGTGGGACTTAGTCTAAAACCTTGGCTGTTTGGCTCAGACAGAGGGGCCGCGTGGGTCTCCTTGACGAATCAAGGCTGTAAAATGTGATAACTTTGCCCCGATCACGTCGGAGCCTCTAAATCCCGGAAAAGGACATAGTGATACCAGCAAAAAGCCTAGAATAGCCGCTTTACCTCACTTTTTAAATCAGATGGATAGAATTAGCGGTTAAAAAGTTATTAAGCATTTTAGAACGCTACCTCTTTGAAGCCGCGGGCGGCTCGCTCGGCCTTTAAGGGTTAACAATGGGAGGAGTTATCTGATCCTCCCTTTGGACCTCCTTGATTATATCACAAACACCTCAGAGTTATCTGATCCTCCCTTTGGACCTCCTTGATCATATCACAAACACCTCAGATCTTAGGTTTCCCCAATCACTGTAGCTCAGTTCCATTATCTCTAGATCTAAGTTGAATGCAAATCAATACATGCTCTCACCTTCCTTTGTCCTCAAAAACACATGTCAACAGGCCCCAAATCCAGCTCACAGTTTTACACAAATTATTTCCCATTTTAAGCTTATTCATAGTTTGCTAACATGAATACATACAAATATTTCACTACAGTTGGCAGATGGCGTACATCTCTAATTTAACAAGGATTTTACACCAACCCTTATAATGCTGTTACACTCGGTCACCAATCCCCGTGGGGAGGACCCGGGTTCCAAATTAAGCCTGGGACCATTCACCGTGTTATACCCTCGGACTCCCCCTTTCAACTCTCGTCAATAAAAGGAACTGGAGGCCGAAAAATATCAAAAAAATAACAAATGTGTAATATGTTGTGAAATACTCATACAAATACATTGTAGCAACTAAAACTAATTGTAGAACATTAGTACATTAACTATTTTGTATTTTGAAACTATAGTTTAACACATAATAGCCTATGTAGGCTACAGTGTACGTAGACTCAATATGTAGAGTTCCTAAGGCCAATATCGGTGTTCTTTTTTCATTAATGACCACCTCGCTGCACATTATCTAGCTTATTACATGGATACATACTAAATAAACCAACAAATTGATTGAGAAATTAATTTAATGATTTAAAATTGATTGTTTTACATCTGCTAAGAAAAAAAATAAGAGTTTCACGGCGTACCAACTACTGGAACTGGGGCGTCAGCAACGTAACTTACAAAAGACGGCAGCACTGATGGAGGTTTTCTGTAACTGTCCAAGTCTGATCACATTTTCTTTTCCAATAACTAGTCTTTAAACACTGCCAGAGCCCATATGTCCCTGTTAGTGTTCACTTCTTGTCTTCTTCTGCTGTTCCTGTTTAATTCCAGTCTTTCTTCTTCTGCTGTTCCTGTTATTGTTTTTCTTCTACTGTTCCTGTTAGTGTTTACTTCCTCTCTGTCTGATTTATCCGACGTCCAAGGCGACAGGCTATCCATCATGAATCCAACGTTTTGTGCCCTCAACAACTATAAAAATGACAACTGACTTTAAATGTACCGGACTTCTTTCTGCGGATTGATATGACTGCACATAGTGACTTGATCCTCCTTAGCAACTGTTTGTTTTCCTTAGCAGCTGTGTTAACAATAAATAACAACCTCTGAAATGTCCAACTTGACCAATCAGAATTTAGTATTTGATTTAGCTGTGTAATAATCCTGATTGATATTGTAACTCTAGATTATAAATTGATTATATGTTCAGTAACATCTATAGAATATCTATGCATATTGTATTTGGATGGCTTTCTTAAACTAGTTGAATTGTCTTTTTCTTTGATGGATCAAGTAAACAAACTAAAACAACAGTGAGTAATAAAAAGTGATCTCTGATGTCACTAGGATGACCCTGGAAGACTTCTGTAGGTTCTATAGTGATCTGGACATCTGCTGCCTGTCTCCCGACTTCCTTGATGGAAATACATCTTGCCACTGGAAGACCTCGCGCTATGAGGGCCGATGGGTTGGAACTGCCGGAGGATACACGAATAATACGGGTACTTACAGAAAACTAATCTCAACTAATATACTATATAAAAAACTTCAATCACTTGCTAAAACAGCTAACCATCTTTTTTAATTAGACGATACAGAAACAGCTTAAGTTTTATGAAGTTTCATCCAATCGCACATTGTGAATAAGACCATTAGTGTGCCGTCTTTTTGGGTCCTGCTCAATTTTAATTTGACGAATAATTCCGGTGGTCAGATTTAATACAGCCCGCAGCTTCGGTCTTATAATATATTACTTATGGCCCACTAGCAGTGTCAAACAGAATAAATCTTTAAAATGTAATTCCTCCTTTCACCGCATGGTGGCAGCACCTCTCTGAGGGGCCTTACAAATGCCGGAATTTAAGCCGATGGTGTTTGCGTTTGCCTTTTTCTGTTAAACATAACAGTCGAGAAAATAATTTCCCTGTGAGGGATTAATAAAGTATGTCTTCTTCTTAAAGACGCTGTATTTTGGTATTTCCTGGTTTGTTTTGGGTGGATCCGCTCTAAAACCCGGAGCGTACTTTTTGAATTGCTATGATGATACTATTTGTCAGACCTGACTTTGACTGGCACCCCACTTTATTAAAAAATAGTTCAAACCAGCTTCAAAGTCTGAGGTATTCCATATAATCTGTTCAATGTTGTCTGACTATCCAGATATGAATGGAAGGCAGAATTGTGTTTTTAGAGTTGTTCACGCCTGAGAGGCTTGTATTTGATTCCATTGTCATTTCAAAAATAAAGATAATTGTGACAATGAAAATGGTGATATTACAGTGTATTTGTACGTTACTTTCATGATTAAAAATGGCCCCCGCCATATTCACACTTTCAAATCTGACCCTCTTTGAAAAAACTTTGGACACCTCTGACATAAGGAGATCCTTTGGTTATAACTTTTTTAAATCTGTAATATTTGCCTTCCAGACAGTTTCTGGACTAATATGCAGTACCAGGTCAAGATTGAGGAATTACTCTGTGAATGTTCTGGGAAACAGGGTGAGAAGATCATGCTGTTGTCTCTGATGCAAAAGCCTGACAAGAGGAACAGACGCCTGGTCTCAGCATTGGATTCTATGCATTTGAAGTAAATATCACTCATTGTGTTTGTCCCATTGCAGAGATCTTTATGATGTATAATGCAAAGACATGATAACAAGTTGTTAGAGATACTGACATTAACCTGTTAAGCCCTGAGCCTGTTTTTCAGGTTTCTGGCTGGAAAATGACATGCCTACAAATAACAATATCGTCACTTCTAAAAAGGGGTAAATTAATATTCTTTTTTCTCAAAGTAATGATACACCTGTGAGTTGGATGCAGAAAAGTCAGAATCAATATAGATGTTTTTATTTTAAAGTAAATTCAGATTGAACATAGTAAACAAATATAAATTATGGTTTTCGTCCAAAAAAAAAACATTACTTAAAGTGAAAACCACCCTTGAACGATGGGATGGTAGACTAAAAGCTTTAGGAATCCAAACTATCCATCCATCCATCCATCCATCCATCTTCTCCCGCTTATCCGTGGTCGGGTCGCGGGGGTAGCAGTTCCAGCAGAGAGCCCCAAACTTTCTTTTCCCTGGCGACATCAACCAGCTCTGACTGGGGGATCCCAAGGCGCTCCCAGGCCAGCGAAGAGATATAATCCCTCCACCTGGTCCTAGGTCTACCCCTTGGTCTCTTCCCAGTTGGACGTGCCTGGAACACCTCCCTAGGGAGGCGCCCAGGTGGCATCCTAACTAGGTGCCTGAACCACCTCAACTGGCTCCTTTCGACGCGAAGGAGGAGCGGCTCAACTCCGAGTCCCTCCCTGATGACCGAACTTCTCACCTTATCCCTAAGGGAGACACCAGCCACCCTGCGGAGAAAACCCATCTCGGCCGCTTGTATCCGCGATCTCGTTCTTTCGGTCATGACCCATCCTTCATGACCATAGGTGAGGGTAGGAACGAAAATGGCCCGGTAGACAGACTATAACATATAATAAGTACCCTGTATCAAGATTGATGCAAAACAAGTGAAAACCCCACCTCTGGGGTCATTTGGGTGTATTTGCCATATCTCTGGAACCCATCGGTCGATTTTGATGATTGAGCCACCCTTTGAACCGTAAGAGCCAACATAATCGAGAGGGAGTTTCTAAATCCATCTAAACATTACCATTGGTGAATGAGAGTGATGCGCAGCCAGCATGCCCAAAACCGGAAGCTGGGTTACAGCTCTCATACACTATATGAAAACTACTCTTATTGACATAAATGTTATGATGGATTATCAGTAATCATTTCAAAGTGACACAGAGACATTGGATTAACCTTCAGCAGTGTGTTTTTTTATGTATTTCTGCTAAACCCAGTGGTGCAATTTGGACCTGCGACATGTTTAATATTATTAATAATTCAATAGAGAATAGTAAAGCTATTGCTGCTCCCACTTTGCAGCAGCGCAGCATAGTTAGTTACTGCTCTATTTGTCAAAAATGGTACTAGCGAGTGTTACAATAACTGTCGTTAGGCTCCCGCCATTGCTGACCCGTGACACATCGTCTAGGTCTAGGATCACCGTGCAGTGGCTCTGTGTGCAGCAGAGCCTTGTACGATGGACCACCGCCTCACGCCAGAGTCCTGCATCGGGGCGGGTACCCGACGGGTGACCCGCAAAAAAAGTGATTCGCGGGTGGTATTTTTTCAAACGCTTTTTTCCAGGTTCGGTTCTGGGTATCACAAAGATGATGCGGGTCGGGTCGCGGGTGTTGCATAATAAATATATCAATAATAATAATAATAATTTAGTTTAATGTTTAAATCTTCAGACCTCTCCCCCGCAGGACCGCGCATATATCCTTTATTTAACCAGGTAAAAGACTCATTGAGATTAAAATCTCTTTTCCAAGAGTGACCTGGCCAAGAGGGGCAGCATGTACGAAGTTACAACAGATAAAACACAGACACGACAGGCAGACAAATACAGCTGTGAAACACAAATAAAATGGCACATTAGCCAGTCAATATGCGAAGTAAAACAAACTAGCCTATTAAAAATCATTCAAAACTGGCAACATTTAAAACGATTTTAGGATATACGAGCATTCACATCTACCAATGGTGTCGTGTTCTCTGTCCTTTAAGATGGACCTGAATTCCCCCATAGTGATTACATCTGAGAATTTTCAGCTCCTTCTGTACATTGTTCCAAGCTGTGGGGGCAGCATAACCACCTCTGCAGCGCATCAATCTGCTGCTGAGTGCGCCACATTCGAAATGGCTGAGGTGAAGCTCTCTAGCGGAGAATACAGCATTTTCAATAACACTTCCTCAAGAGCGAAATCCAACGTCTGGGAGGCTTTTGGTGTCATCCTAGATGGAGAAAATAACCAACATGCCACGCTTTTTGAGACAAATATGCAACTGCGTGTGTTAATAATTGCACGTTTTCACTGCTCATATAGGCTATGCGGGTTCGGGTCGGGTTGCGGATCTTGCGCCGACGGGTCGGGTTGCGGAACTAATTGGCAATATGTGCGGGTAACGGGGCGGGTTCGGTATTGCACGTCGCGGGTGCGGGGCTGGAGCGGGTCTTGAAAATCAGACCCGTGCAGGACTCTGCCTCACGCTCGCTTCCTCGTTGATCCGGCCTGAGTTCAGCTTCCCTTCTTCCTCTTTCGTCACGCAGTATCGTTTTTTTCGGTTCTCCCGGTTCTTTCTGGTATGCCTACGTGTGCCGGGCCCTCACTTAAACAAGACACCAGCCAATCTGCGTAGCCCCCTGGAAGACTTGGAATGAAGCAGGCCAATCACGCCCTCCTCGTCCCGCTGATACACACCAGCTCGAACTCAACAATCAATAACCCACAGTCCATTTAATCCTTTTCATGATTTCATGTTTATTCACACTTCAGATTTCTAATACAAACGCATACACATGAAAACAGCAAATCACTACTTCTCGTATCAACCGACCGACAACACAGAGGCATGATTGAGCAACAAGTTTACCAGACGATTGACATCAGACATGTGTATTTCAGCTGTGAAGAAACCACAGTCACAGCCTCTGTAAGGCCAAAACCACAAGTGTATTAACAAAATATAAAATCCGTTACCAGGGGAGGAAGTAAGTACAGGTTGTGTTGGGGGTATTACCGTATACGGCCTGCGAGACCATTTGGTGTGGCCGTCGAGGTAATTTATAAACACACGCAAAAAAGAAAAAAATTAAAGAAATCTAGACCGCAAAATAATTAAACAAGTGAGTACCTGTTTTTCCTGGCCAAGGTCAGGGTCCGTGAACACAACACAAGCCTAACGTGTCATCACGTGGTATGTCTGACAGGAGTAGTGTTCTGACGGAGAGCACTAGAACGCAGCTCCGCTCCGGCACTTCCAAAAATTGCAGTACCCATAAGGAGCCGTACACATGCTGCAGTTTTTGCGTGGCTGTGTCTTAGTTGAAAGCCCAGTGGCGATCTGTTCATCTGTCATACTGATCATACAGTCAATAACTTTGTTGTTATTAGCATCTGGTTAGCTAGCTATGCTAACGAATATAAGAAGCTTTTTCTCCAACCAGTGAGGTAAAGGCACATCTTTATATGATCATTATAATTATAAAAAAATAAGAGAATAAAGTAAACAGGTATAAAATACTATATCACAGTAAAAAAAAGTTGTTATTAATAAACAAGAATACAGTTTGAAAGGGGAGTGATTTGTAAAATATCCATAAAGAAAAAGAAAATCTGTTTACAGTTCTGTTTCATCTGGGTGTTGAGAGATGTATCCATAGATCTACTAATGTTGCTCTCAAAGAGCACCAGATTGATGCTTTTAACTTCAACATTTAAAAAAAAATCTTCCCGGACCCCCCTAGAGGAGGTGAGGTCCCCCCCACTTAAATCATGTTCACATGGATAGGAGTCTAAATACATTTGCACACATCTTGTGTCCATATCTTTCTGTTTGGGTGGTCATGCCACAACCGTGCACGTGCATGCATGCGTGAGTCATGGTAAGATATCTGGATTAAGAGGTTGCTTTTTCTTTGCACAGCATGAAAGAAAGGTGAAATGAGTGGGCTGTGATTTTAGTATTTTTAAGCAGAGGTCAATAATTTGTACGGCCTTCGGAGGATGTTGAAAACATTGAAATGGCCCTTGAGAGGAAAAAGGTTCCCCACCCCTGATCTATAGGATTACCTGTTCTCCATCTAGTACTGTTGCAATTCTGCCGCCTTGTGGCTAATCACAGTACAGCCACCTGGTTTCATCAGAATCAGACAATGTTATTTTAACAGTTGATGCATTTTAAAATGAAAAATAAAAGCATTAAAATAAATTAAAAATATGAAAATTGAAAACTATTACAATAATACTTAACATGTGCATAGTGTAATACAGTCATAATATCAACATAATGCCTTGTGTGGGGTTTAAATTCATCAGCTGGTACCAGAGTTCCCGTTAGAATATTTTTTCGCCGGTCAACATGTCCGTTAAAGTTTAAATCTTCCGGACAAAATGAGAAAAGTGCCGGTCAAAGGTCTTCTTTGTTATTTATTGTGCTTTAAAACAAATTGATATGATTCGATATTAAACAAACTAATTATAGTATATTAACTACATTATTCAAAAGTGAACAGTAATTTACAATAACACGGGAATAATAAACGGAGTGCTCTCCCTCTCCTGACAGCCCGTCAGTATCATGCAGCTCGCGGATCAGTAATGAGTGACCCGACAGTAAAACTAAACATATCTATAACTAGTTACGGTAGTTTGAGAAGTCATTAAAATAGCTACGTGTGATATTCTAACCTGGTGTGTGTTTTGTCCGCTCACCGCTGCATGTGATCATGCAGAGCTGCGTGTTGACTCGTTAGCAGCAGCTGATCTCTCTCTCCCGTCAGATTAGACTTCACTCGCGTTTATGTCCATATCGATCAGATCCAGCTAGTTCTAGCTAATGATATGACTACCTGCTTATTAAAAGACACCTAAACAATTAGCGTCACTATGCAACCGGGTGAGGCCGCAAAGTATAGCGCAGCATTATGCATTTGTTTACATGCCCACCGGAACCTCGAGGCATTACCAACAGATCAACGCACAATCAACCCATACAGGACATCTCTTTCTCCACATTAAGTGTTAGACATTAGAATTGACTCTTCTTGTCTGTCACATACTCTTTTGTCTGTCACATAAGTGGCGCAAGTTGCGCAACTGATGTGGTATTGTGCTAAGCGGAAATGATTTTGAACGGACACTTTGACCGGAGAGATTTAGATTTGCCGGTCTTTAGCATATTTTATCGGTCGTAGTCCGGTAATTACCGGCTAACGGGAACTCTGGTTGGTACATGTCATGTGCAGTGGCGTTTTTATATGTACAAAAGTGGTGGGGCACAAACAACTTAGATGTCTATATATAAGCTTCTGAGGTTCATGGCTGGTGAGGCTCTGACTCTTCAGGTTTACAAATATTATATTTTGACCTAAATCAAAATATCATATTATTTTCAAAAGCTTTTTTTGTCTGATTCTTCAATTAATTAACAGACAGTTCAACAAAAGGATACCCAAAAAATGTAATTGTATCATTTAAATATTGAATTGTTCTCTCTTAGTAAGATCCCATTTTCAATCAAATTGCAGTCTTACCTTGACATGAAGATGAAGTCCATTTGCCTATCCTTCTGGACAAAAATCTCTATTACTTTTTTGTAAAAGTCCTCCTTATGTTCTTGTAGTTTCAAAAGTCTATCATAAATCTGATCTAATCAATAGATTTATGATTCGAAAATTATAAAAGTAGGGTAGACATGTGGATATTATCCGGCTGAACAAAACGTGCATTTATCTAACAGGTTTGTTTCCCACAGATCTTATTTTGAGCTATTTTCTAAAATCCTATGGAGAAATATCATTGCTTTTTTGTGGAGGGAAGCCATGCGCAGTTTATTTCCGGGTTTTAGGACGCCTCACTGCAGCTCTCTCTCCTCCTCTTCACACACCACACTTTTCGCGGCACACGTACTTACAGCCAATCAGCTCTGAATTATGTGAGATGACGTATGGTGGGGATGGCAGCACTATGCCCCTATGGTCATTATTTTTTTGCCACACACATTAAATAGGACAATACTCTGAGCATGCGCAATGTAGTTTTTACAGTCACCATTGACTTAAACGGAGAGGGAGGGGCAGGATCGGGTTTTGTCCCACATGGCTCAAAACAGCTCAATAGGCACACACTGTAGACACTAATTAGAAGAACACAGACTAAAACAGCAATGTACAGACGAATCAGATGAATAAACATGATCTTAAAATATATTTTATATATTTTTTAATTTATCTTTTGCATTTTTTTGTAATCATTACTTTTAATACTTTCTGCTGACACTAGGTGGGGCTGTGCCCCACCTGCCCCTAATGACCAGTCACCACTGGTCATGTGTGGTAATAGGCCGCAAGGTGAACCTCGAAAAGTCCTTTAGAAAAGAAATCCCGCTCCACAGAAGTGAAACTACACAATCTTTAGTTCATAAAAAAGAACGATTCATGCTTATCCACCAAAAAAAAATTCGTCGCTAAAATTCCTGCCAATTCTTCTAGGCACGTAATTATTGGCTGAACTATTCCCTTCGAAGCGTAATAATATCTTGGTCCAAAGTCGTGCCACGGTTCATCACGTGATCGTGCTACACCAATTGGGTAGCTGCATATTGTCAACAGAAGTGAAAGATGGCGGCCGCCATGGTTTCATCGAGTAGCGGAGACGAGGAAAACGCACCAGAAAGTCTCAAAAAGTCAAAATTGTCAACACACAAACATTGTTACATGCATATTACGTCTGTGAAGCACGAAAAGGTTGATTGTTTTACCAATACAAGATGGAATACGTACAGGACAAGCTTACAACGGTCGCTCGGCTTGAAGGGAGACTCTCGGAACGTGGTGGCTGAAAACCACAAGCACTGTCTTGATTTCGAGTTCGAAGATATTCCTGAGGACGCTGGCTTCCACCACACATGCTACATAAGGTTTACCGACACAAAGGCCATGACGAAGGTGGAAAGACGGCTCGCACGTGAGGGAGATCAAGACGTTAGGGAGGACCTTGAGGTCGAGCCCATCCCATCGACGTCTCGCAGCACGTACCGAAGCCAAACAGAGAAGCTACGATCAAGGTCAGGCCTGCCAATCGCAGGCTCTGGCCCCGTCCTTCCTGCCCTGTGCATTATATGCAAGATGAAGGAGAAAATGATCATCAAAGCAGGCAAGCGACAAAGGGATCAACTGTGTAAGGCTGAAACATTAAAAGCAGGTAAGCAAACCCCCTCCCCCACCCACACACCACACACACACTACACACACACCACACACACACACACACACACATTCTCTGTGGTTGAATAACTGAAAGGTACAATTATGTGTGAGAGATACGTCAACAAACTCATTGAGTTGTCCTTTTTTTCCGTTTAGGCAAATTGCAGAAAGCTGCTGAGAAGAAAGATGACCAAAGTGTTCTTTTACATATAAAAGACAAAGACTGTGTGGCTCTGGAGGTGCGGTACCACAAAAGCTGTTACAGTCAGTACACCATGTTTTTGCTGAGACCTGACAAACCAGAGACAGAACAGTAAGTTATTTCTCCTTGGATTGCTTTACCTATTTGCACTACCACCAGACTGAAGTCCAGGTGTGTGTCGGCGATGGCTATATATATATATACACATACACATACTTAACATTATAAGTAAACATCCAATTTCCTTCTGTTATATGTGCACACAATCACAACACTTATTCATTTATCCATTTATTTACTTCTCATTCATGTGTTGTAGGGATGAGGCAATGTTTGATGCCAGTTACAAGCTGTTCTGTGAGAGGAACATCCGCCAGAGGCTGCTTGTCAACAATGAGGTGCTTAGAATGGGCCAGCTGAGGCAGGCCTTCATTGACATGGTGAAAGCAAACGAAGGTGTTGATGCTTCAAACTACAGGTAACTGCAATGTAATACAAGTCTTATTATTTATCATGTGCAAGGCCAGCTTTAAACAAAATGTGTATGACAGGCCTGTTTGGAGAAACCCCCATGATGTGTAGTGTGTAGTGTTGTTTGTGATGATGTGGGCCTTTATTTGGCTTCTTTGGTGTTACATGTGCTGTATGGCAGATAGGTTCTAGTCTGTAATGTCTTGTATCACCTCCACCACTCTGCTTTTGATGGTACTCCTGTGACTCGTAATTGTCACTGTTTTGTTGTGTTACAGACAGGATCTGTTGAAGAAGAGGCTGGCTCAAGATTTCCCTCAGCTAGCGTTTCACATGCCCACCAAACGCAACGTCTGCGAACTGGTTTTTGCTGAGACTCTGTCAAAGGATGCACTCGTGGACATGCTACCAGATCCATCCGGTACGGAAACAACACAGTCCAGTGAATTGAGCCAGACAGACAGCGACAATGAAACAGGGAGAACAAAGTGCCAAACAACACATGAGGACACAAGGACACTGTATACAGCAGCGTTGTTTTTGAAAAGACTGCTTAGTGACACTCCTGGCATGTCATGCCCATGGCCTCCCACTTCTGAAAATGTAAATGTCACTGAATCTCAAACTGTTGTCCCCATTGGACTATACAATCTGCTCAGCTGGATTATAGGTTCCACTGAGGAGCCAACACTGGATCATTATGTCAACATTGATGATGACGTACATTTGAAAGTGTTGTCTGTTTGTCAAGACATTGTGTACCTTGCTTCCAAGGGCCGCAAGCAGACACCCAAGTCCTTGGCTTTAGGTTTAACTGTTCGACATTTAACTGGATCATCACGCATTGTATCACTGCTTAACAGACTGGGACATTGTGCATCATGGGACACAGTTTTGAGTCTAGACACTAGCCTTGCCCAACTGACACTAGTAGAAGGCAGAGACAAAATACCGAAGGGATTCTCAAAGCGGACACCCACAACACTTGTGTGGGATAACATTGACTTTGGTGAGGAGACACTATCGGGTCGTGGAACTACTCACCATACAAATGGAATTATGCTCCAGAGTGTGCCCGGCGAGCCTATGTCCACAGCAATCAGACAGCCACTGAGAAAGGGAGTTACCTCATTCATAGCCCCCCCCCCCCCAATGCCTATACAACCTTACCATCAGTCCAAAAGGCAAGGGCCACAGAACTTGTGTCAACCAGTGCAGTCAGCGACATGCAGAATGGACACCCACTTTGCTGTACAAGCTGAAATGGCATATGCTTTTGTGAAGTCCACATGTACGGATAGTTGTACAATCCCAAGCTGGACAGGGTTCCATACACTGCTTCAGGATGAAAACACTCTGCAGAAGTCCGCATTGTATTATCTTCCAGTCATTGAAGCCTCACCAACAGAGATGTCAACAGTCAACACTATCCTGAAGCGAAGTGTCCAGATTGCTGACCAGCTAGAACTGGATCATATAGTTTTAGTGTTTGACCAGGCTATATATGCCAAAGCACAGCAAATACGCTGGAAGGATGTTGAGTTTACAAAGCGTCTAGTGATTAGACTAGGTGAATTCCATACATGCATGTCCTACCTGAGTATTCTAGGCAAAAGGTTCGGAGATGCAGGACTGCAAGATATCCTCATTGAATCTGAAGTTGTTGCCCCAGGATCCATCAATGGGGTACTCAATGGCCATCACTACAATCGCAGCATGAGGGCTCATAAACTTCTATATGAGAGTCTGCAGCGCATCCGGTTTATCACCTTCATGGACTCCTTGCCACCCCAAGAGAGAGCTGCGTGCATGGATGTCATCACTGAGATGGAATGTGCCTTTCCAGACAGATTGATGGATGTTTTGAGTGCAGATCAGAGGTTTGATAATATGTGCTCGAAATATGCAGACTTTGTGCAGAGGAGGAGTACAGAGAATGCAACATTTGCTTTCTGGAGCTCATACATTGACATGATGCAGCTACTCCTCCTGTTTGTGAGAGCAACGCGAGAATCAAACTGGCAGCTTCACCTGTCAACCGTCCGGTTAATGATGCCATGGTTTTTTGCCTACGATAGAGTAAATTACGCTCGATATTTACCTGCATACTGGCTGGAAATGATGAATCTGCCTGTCACACATCCCTCTTGCCACAGTGACATGAATGTGAAAGGCCAGTGGACTGTCCAGCGACAAAGTGTTCATGGATTTGCCTCCATTGCTTGCGACCAGGCTATTGAGCAAACGCTTAACAGAGATGCCAAGACCAAAGGTGGCTGGACAGGGATCACACAAAATCGGTCTGCAGTGTATCGCTGGATACTGTCACAGCATGAAAGAGCCGCGATAGCAAGACAGTGTGAATCAATGGCAGGGATATCTCCTGAGCTACGGACAAGAAAAGACCTGGACAAGACACGCATCTCTGCTGATGCAAAGGCTGTGAGTAGAATCTTGGACACTATTGATTCCATGCTCAACCCTTTTGATGTACACCAACACGGCATTGTGTGTCTTAGCTCTGGAAGAGTAGCAACAGGAGAAATCACAAAGGATTTGCTTGTTGCCTCAGAAAAGGGTGAAAATGCTGTAAAGGAGTTTATGGAGCAGAGACTGTTATCCAAAACAGTTGACATATTTGCCCCCATAATATCACAAAAACTCAAGACTCTCAGTGATCAGAAAAAGCCCCCCAAAAAATCTGCAGCAGGCAAGGAAGTGATTTTGCGTGCTGACAAGAAGTTATTTTCCAGGCTCCTCATCCTTGGCCAGAGCAGGAAAATTGAAATGAGGGAAATTCTGTCATATTCCTTGGGAACTGTGTCATATCCATTAGCAAGTGCTGATGGTTCACTTGCCAAAACAAACAAATCAGGTCTCATGGATCTAATGCAGAGCAAAGGTGGAGAGTGCTTGGTTGACAAAGTTCCAATAGGTGGTGCCATTCTTTTTGATGGCATGGCAGTCATGCAGGCCATGCCATCCAGACCAGCAACATTTGGAGAGCTTGCAGAGACCATACTGCAGAGCATACTCCAACTTGCTTTGCATCACAAGTGTACACGCATTGATTTTGTCACTGACCGGTATCCACCCATCAGCATCAAAAGCCTAGAACGGTCCCGTAGAGCTGATGCAGGGTCACAACTAATAACAATCTTCAGCCCAGATCAGAGAACTCCAACCCAGTGAAAGAAGTTTCTCTCTGACGGAAAAAATAAGGAAGCACTGGCCGAATTCCTTTATGTGGCATGGACACATGCAGACCTCACAACAGTGGGTAAAAACCTCAGCTTGTACATTGCCCATCAAAATCAATGCCACTGTGTAACTGTCATGGAGGGTGTACAGTCTGTTGATGTTGTTGAAGACCTGCAGTGTGATCATGAGGAATGTGACACACGGGTGTTTTTACATGCCCAACATGCTGCACAGGAGCACAAAGCTGTCATCATCAAGAGCTCGGACACTGATGTGGCAGTCATTGCTGTAAGTCTGCAGGCAGATTTGCCATGCAGCTTATATGTGTTCACAGGGACTGGCAACAGGACACGGATCATTGACATTGCCATGGTGTCATCAGCTCTCGGAACCAGTGTGTGTTCAGCCTTGATTGGAATTCACACGTTCTCTGGGTGTGACTCCACAAGCGCTTTCTATGGCAAAGGCAAAAGAAAGTCATTTGCTGTTGCATGTGAGAAAGATGACTACCTTAAGGCTTTCAGAAGTTTAGGTACTAACTTTGACTTGGAGCAATCAACATTTGCACTTCTTTGCCGGTATGTATGTCACCTGTATGATCAGCCAGCAGCCGAACATGTAAATGATGCTAGGTACAAGGCTTTCTGTATGGCATCATCGGCCTTGCCAGAATTAAGCATTCCCCCTACTCATGATGCCCTCCATCAGCACTGCAAAAGGGCAAATTACCAGGCAGCAATAATGAGGTCCTGTCTCAAAAGAGAAATGAATGCTCCATCACCTGCTGGATATGGTTGGGAAATAGAGGATGGGAACTTACACGTCACCTGGATGACAAGAAATCCTGCCCCTGACAGTGTGTTGCATGTGATACACTGCAGCTGCAAAGAGTCTGCCTGTGAGAAAGGCAGATGTTCATGCTTCTCTGCAGGACTCTGTTGCACAGACTTATGTCGTTGCTCAAATTGTGCAAATAAAAAAGAAACAGAGGAAGAGAACGATGACTGCCCTGACACTGACAGTGAGGAATAGGAATAAAAGAGCCTTCTTTCCATCTTTCTTAAGCTCTTTTCTGTTCTTTTGGTTTTAGTGCCTGGCCGACGCGCTCACACATCACTCATAGATACGTTTGTTTTTGGTACTAGAACAGAGTATAATCAGCAGGACTCTTTTAACCAGCTGAGGCAATCACAGCACCAATCAGCCGCTCCGCCCAGCCTGACACCAATCAATTATACTACATTACATGTCCTTCTACTGTTTTCTATGTCATACCTTTTATATTTGTAATAAATCTCGTTTTTATGGTTCATCAGTGTTGTTTTCATTTGTGGAGGGATGAATGAGTAAATAAATGAATCAATGGACATTGGTATAAGTAAGGCAAGGCAAGTTTATTTATATAGCACTTTTCAACACAAGGCAATTCAAAGTGTTTTACAAAAAATTAAAGACATTAAGAAAATGGCATTTAAAATCAGTCATTCAAAAGAAAAGCTAATAAAAGAAACATTAAAAGAAAAAATACATGGATAAAAGTTACAGTGCAGTCTAAGATATGAATAGTTCAATTAAAAGCAGCAACAAAAAGAAAAGTCTTCAGCCTGGAAGTACTGCATTTTATTGATCTAAATTACTTAACGTAACAAGTTAACCTTCTTCTTGGACGCAGAAATCAAGTCATGTTTATTTTAAGAGTGCATTTAACGTGTACAGGGTAACAACAGACAGACAAAAAGTCCTCAGTCTAATGGAATAATCCCAATGAACCTAGCGATGTGAACATGGCAGTCCAGGAATGATAGTTTGATAAATATGAGTTTGATATACTTTATTAATCCCCGTGGGGAAATTGTTTGTAGCTGGAGTTGGCTGATAAACGCTGCTAGTCAATGTTGATTCGATGGTCAACTCTGTTCCCAGATAGTAAAACCTCTCACAAATACCGCGTATATAACGCAAATACCTCGGACTTAGTGATGTATTAAGACATATGACAAAACATGAGATAAAACAAGCATACAGCACTGTTTAGAATCCATTTGGTCTGGTTTAGCGTAACCATGGCGGCCGCCATCTTTCACTTCTGTTGACAATATGCAGCTACCCAATTGGTGTAGCACGATCACGTGACGAACCGTGGCACGACTTTGGACCAAGATATTATTACGCTTCGAAGGGAATAGTTCAGCCAATAATTACGTGCCTAGAAGAATTGGCAGGAATTTTAGCGACGATATTTTTTTTGGTGGATAAGCATGACTCGTTCTTTTTTATGAACTAAAGATTGTGTAGTTTCACTTCTGTGGAGCGGGTTGAAACGATAACAGGGTTCACCTTATGGCCTATAATGGGCTTGAAAGATGTGGGTCAGAAAGGAGCTGCAACAACAACTAGTCTGATTCATCATCTGTAAAGAGGGTTGAACAGCATAATTAGCAATACAAGAAGAAAACACTGATCTCTAACAACCGGAGTATTCAGGACAGGAGAAAAGTCGTAGGTCAGGTGATGAAGTTTATGGAGTAACCTGGTGGCAACCTCATGAATGTATAAAGGATTCAAATTCAACGGTTTTATTGTCATATGCACAAAGCTACAGTGTAGAAATGGCAATGACATTCTTCTGACCTGAGCTCCTCCAACAATGCAACATATATAATAAAATACGAAAATACAAATAAAAAGTAGTACAAAAAGACTATATAAAGATAACGTGAAACAGTATTTGAGTCGAGACCGTTGTTCTTTTGGAGGTTGCTCAGTGGTCACAACCCTAACGGCCCGTCTACACTACAGGCATCGAAAAATGCTTTCAACGCTTCGCCCATTCACTTGAATGGGGTGACGTAGAAGATTTTGAATCTTCGCCGAACTGCATTGTGGGGAGCGGAGCATGGCTTTGCAAGCATCGTGAGCATCAAAAGTTGAGCAATGTTCAACTTTTGATGCTCCCGATGCTTTCATCAGCCAATCAAATCCCGTTTATGCAAATCCCGCCAGTACAAGCGTTAGCCAATCAAACCGCGTGCAAGCTGGGAGAGCCAGACCGCAGTTCATTTCCTCATATTCCAAACGAGAAATTACGGTAGCAAATCACCCGGTTCTTTCCGACCAGAACTATTTACCGGGATACAAACCGAAGGAACCAGGCATGGAGGGAGGTGGCAGAGACAGTGGGTGAAACTGGTAGGTTTTCGCCTGTTTGGGGAGTTTATATCCAGTTTACTTCGTTTTAACATTGCTATTGCTTTGTATGTCGGGGGCGGGAGATTCATGTGATTGGTTGTTGGTCGCGTTGCTCGCAAAAAATCGCCAAGCTTCAGACACGCCCAGCTTCAAGATTTTGTTATGCCTGTAGTGTAGACGGGCCGTAACCCCTCAGTCAGTTTCATGTGCAAGTGTGTGCCATGCAAATTAACGACTAGCTGATGTAGCTGTTTCTTTCTGACCCACAAGCAGATTAATAATTGTAAAGCCAATGTAATCCTCTGATATCAATCAAAATGGGTGCACCAGTCCAAAATGTCCGTTCTCATTTCAGGCACTTTATTCAGCAGACACAAGATCATCAAAGTACACCCGAACAAATGCAGATAAAACATTTTATACGACGGATTTTTGATGAAACATGTATATACTATGGTAAAAGGGGTTTCTAATTTGAAACGAAAAACATAAAACACAGTGAGACTCATTACTTTCTCACTTGACATGAAAATACGTCCAACTTCAGGCAAACTGCACTTAAGAATGTCTTGTTTTCTGCATCTCAATTCACAAAATCCCATTATCTTTCTTAGGTGGCGTTACACATTGCATCATAGACTTTTTGAATGAAAGTCAATGTGCATGTGAAACACCTGTTTGTCAATGCATATCAATCAACATCTGTGGGTGTTCCTCACCTGATGCATGCTTGGGTACTGTTAAGACGAGGTACACAAATACTGGACTCAATTGCAACGACTCACTTTTTAATGAGAAAAAATAAACAAAGTTTAAACAAAAGATCACTCTTGCGAGGACAAAATGAAGCTTTTGGTTTCTAACAAACAAAACTCTCCTCTCTGGTAACTCTCCTCTCTGGTAACACGCTGGGTCTCTGGACATGTGACGCACACTGAAACAAGACAAACTGGCACAAGACAAAGGGAGACAAGGACTATTTAAACATGAGGGAATAGGAAACAATCAGGGGCGGGGCAGACGCTGAACGATGGCGGGAAAACACACAAAGGGAGGAAGTAACAGGGCCTGAAATGAAAGACAAGAGGAAGTACAAAATAAAGCAGGGAATGGGAAAACGAGACATGACATGAAACATGGGGACTTGACGACAGACATAAATAGGCAGACAAGACAGGACGCAAAGTAACATGAACACCTGACTCTACATAGAAACCTGACTAGACTTGAAATGACAGACATAAAACAAACACAACTAACACATTTGACCAGTAGTCATCACCAGTAGTCTTAGGTGTAAAATAACAGATTATAAACGTCACACAATGATGGCATTTGGTCACTCTCTGGAGTTAAAATAAAGGGCCTAACAAAGGTCTTAGTTTTTCTGCCAATGCAAGGCAGCCAACCCTGAGCAAATGATGTCTTTACGTGGACAGAAAAGGTGTTGATGTGAAAAACAGGTCTGACAACAAGCACATTTGGAACGTGAAAAGTTGGCTAATGAAATGTTGTCAGTCACTCTTGTGTAATTATCTTCCCCTCCCCTTCTCCTCCCGTCTGTCTCGCTCTCATCTGCCTGTATACAGGTACAGTTCCAAACATCGAGAACATCCCGTCCTGACAGAAGCAGCCTGAGGCGTTTGCAGGTTTAATACAAAAACTGGGGCATCTTTTCTCATACTTGCTCTTTCACCAAGACCCAACACTTTCTCCTTCCAGCTGGTGAGGTAAGATTTTTTGTAGTTAACATGCCAGGTAACAAGTCGATTTACACTTTCTTAAATAGTTTAGCAACTGATATTATCCTAGTTGTAGTCCCAGTTCTAACTGTTCCTCCTTAGAGACACTACAATGGTAAAAGGGGCCTGCACTATACATCTCAGTATAATGGGTTATATTTGTATGATTGTTATTTAAGTCTTATTTTATTCCTTTCTATTTAGTCATGCGTTGGTTTTAGTGTTCTTTTTTCACAAAGCTATGTGGCAGCGTAAATGTATAGTCTTTCATTATTTTCTTTGTTATATGATATGCCATTAACGTGGCAGCCACAACAAACAGCAAAACACAGAACAAAAAATGTCATGTAATACCAAACGCTACTGGTGATGATGGTAGGGTGTGTGCACCCACACATACATCGTAAGACAGGTATTAACATGCATATAGACTTTTAGGGTCCAAATACCTGGCATGCAGGTCTTTGCAAACTCAGATAATGCTAATCTTTTAGTTGGTTTAGGACACAAACTAATATGATATGAATGTATTAAATGTTACAAAGGACAACAAATAGTTTGGTTTATTTTCTTTGGAAAAGTCTGTGCTGCTTTGATCTATGATGCCGAACATTAAGTGTAGTTGGACATACTTTGCTTTGCAAAATAAAAGATCAGCATGGGGGTCTTATGAGGATAGACGAAGGCGTCTCACAGTGTTTTTCATGTTTTTTGTTTCAAACTTGAAGTCCAAATGCCAAGGATCAATGCCTTTGGATCAAATTGAACATTTGCATGCTAATTATTTGTCGTATTTATCCAAATCTTACGTTGGTAATAATGATCTGGTTTAATCTGCTGTTTGTATGCCCCACGCCCATGGCATGGTGGACAAAGGAAATTAAACAGCTATGGATGATGGGCGATATGTCAACTCTTTCTATTATATTTCACATCAACATCCAAAGCCAACTTTTTTCAAAGAACCCTTTCTCATTTTAAAATGCTCCCTTTTCTGAACAGAGTTCAAACACTGCAGAATGCCTCATCCAGGAGTGTGTATGAACATCATCAATGCCCGTCACCTGAAAGATGGTAAAGGGACCGTCACTAACCCTCAGAAGTTTCTGGACCAAGACTTTGAGCAGCTGAAACAGTACTGTATTATTAAACGGGTACGGTACATCGACGACATGTTCCCCCCTGACGTGAGGTCCATCGGGACTGGGTTACTGAAGGCTGATGACCTGAAGCGAGTGGTGTGGCTGAGACCACATGTGAGTGCTTCAGCTTTCAATTTAAAATCACATGTTTCTCTCTGCTAAATGTTCAACTGTTCATCCGTTCATACGTGTTTAATGTTGATCCTTGTTAATGTTGGGCTGGCCTGGCACAAGTAATTTGTGTTAGCTCTTGTGCTAGTTGTTCTTAACGAGTAATGTCAACAAGTCCTCTCTTTCAGAAAATGGTTCCCAATCCAATGTTTGAACTTGATGGCTACTCCAGGTTTGACTTTGGTCAAGGCATGCTTGGTATGGAAACTGCTATATTTATAACCATAAATCCATAATCCATCAATTGTTTTTCAAGCTGTGTTAGCATTCTCAATAGGTTGTAATCTGGAAACCCTTCTGTTCACATTTAACTGTCATGCCTTCTCCTTCTTATACACCTTCCTGAAAACAAATGTCCATTTCCCTCTCAGGAAACTGCTGGTTTCTTGCATCAATCGGAGCTCTGACGTTCCAGAACTTCATCCTTAGGCAGGTTGTTCCACATCAAACATTTGATGAGGAGTACTGCGGAATATTCCACTTCAGGGTACATCAACCACCTTGCCATCTGTATATCCTCAATAATAACCCATCTCATCTTATCATATATTGCTATTTAATTATTTATATGATCTCCTTTCACAACTACTCAGTTCTGGAGGTTTGGAAGATGGGTGGATGTTGTCATTGATGACAAACTACCAACTATCGATGGCAGACTGATCTTTGTCCGCTCCAAAGACCCAACTGAGTTCTGGCCTGCTTTGCTGGAGAAAGCTTATGCGAAGTATGGAAAAACAATGTTATGTTTCTCATTCCTGAAATGCATTTTCTCAGAAGTCGATATGTGTAATTCATTTCACGCCCACTTCTGTCAGAGTGTGTGGTTCCTACTCGGACATGAATGCTGGAACTCCTGCCGAGGCCATGGTGGACTTCACCGGTGGAGTTCACATGTGTATTGATCTGACAGAACCCCCCCCACATCTGTGGGAGTTGATGTGCAGAGCTAGCCAATCCAAGTCACTGATGGGCTGTGGTACACCTCAGGGGGTAAGAACGAATATACCATAACCAACACTGACTAGCTCCCTTTGCTTCATGTGCTTTTGGGTTGTCCAATAGACCAAAGCCCCGACTCACCAAAGCATCTTAAGGCTAAAATGATCATGGCCCAAGTACATGGTTAGAATGTCATAGTTAGAAAGATTATTAAAGTATCTTTCTGGCTGCTTTAACGTTTTCACTTGTCACAACAGATAACTGAAAGCATTACTATGGTGATGTATGTGTGTCGATAACTGCCTGTTTACATGTGTATATGGGGACTGCCAAGTCTCAATAAATCAGGGGTTTGACACCTTTTTCTGTACCACTTTACAATAAGACTACCCTTATAAAGGATTCATAAAGGGTTTATAATTAGGTTATTAATTAGGTTGTAAACACTTTATTAATCATTAAGAACCATTCATAAACCAGTTCTAACATTGTTTTCATACATCAACACAGGCTCACTATTTGGCAAGATGACTAAGCCTTATATTGGCTACTTAGCGAGAATCAACTCGGTGAACAACAGATACCAAGGAAGCTGGCTGATGATGAAGAAGAAGTAAGCTAGGTAGCCAATATAAGGCTTAGTCATCTTGCCAAATAGTGAGCCCACATTTATCTGTCCTGCTAAGGCTAGCCTTATATTGGCTACCTAGCTTACTTCATCTTCTTCATCAGCCAGCACCCTTGGTATCTGTTGTTCACTGAGTTGATTCCCCCCCCCCCCCCCCCCCCCCAGCCATCTTGATGTTTCTTGGCATTTCTTATGACCATTTATTTATGAGTTACTAACATTTATAGTAGCCAAAAGGGAGTCTTATTGTAAAGTGGGAAACAAATCACCATTTATTAATGAGTTACTACCATTTTTAATCAGGCTTAGCAGTACAGATAAATGTGGGCTCACTATTTGGCAAGATGACTAAGGCTTATATTGGCTACTGTTAACTATGTTCGTTTTTCTCGCGTCCAGGAGAGAAGCTTAAAAAGGAGACTAAATTGAGTCTCTGAGAAGGTTCAAATTGTACTTTAAATAAAAATATGGCGCGGTAATGTTACAAACAGGATATTGTTCAGTCAGGAGAGAAAGGCTGCAGCTTCCTCTCCCTGTGATGGCCGTGCAGAAGAGACCACAAGCCTTCGTCTTTCCCGCTTGCTGGCTGTTCGCTCCTCCTCTCTGAGCTGTAGTGCCGTAGGGGACTTCCCCCCTCGTTCGTGTCCGATATCGCGTTAAACAGAGGATTTCGACATTTTACATTCATTGCTTACTTCCACATGCCTTTTATCCTCCTTATCTCTTTCATAACTTTATATGTAATACATGTTAACGGCGTCAATAGCCACTTTAATGATACTAATGGGCGGTAGTCCCGGATGTCGTCATGAAGGATTTTCAGAATAAAAGCTTGGTATTGAGAACTTCCGGTTTTTTTCAGAAAACATTGATTTTAATTTCTAACACTACTTAGCGAGAATCAACTCAGTGAGCAACAGATACCAAGGATGCTGGCTGATGAAGAAGATGAAGTAAGCTAAGTAGCCAATATAAGGCTTAGCAGTACAGATGAATGTGGGCTCACTATTTGGCAAGCAACCGGTCACACTTGCCCTGCTTATCTCATGTCTTATAAAAGCTTATTAATGATTTATAAAGTGTTCACAACCTAATTAATTAATTAATTACAAACTATTCGTAAACCCTTTCGAAGGGTAGTCTTATTGTAAAATGGTAACCATTTACATAGTACATAGTTGATAATGACAAGGGATATCATTCAGGAAATTACTACTTAATTGTCAAGCAAGGAACATACTGCTGCTTTTGATTCTGTACAGTATGTGTAAACTAGAAAATTCAGAGAAATGTTGACTGTGTGACTGAAACTTGGGTGTGCGTCCCAATGCTAACATTACCCCTAGTTAGTAGTATTAATAGCATTAGCTGTATTGTTAAGGTACAACAAAGAATATCCATTCATTTTAGCTCACTTTTAGCTGACTATTTTAACTGTTTATCTATTAAATTTTTGGATTCTTGTACCCGATTCCTGCATCGTTTCTGAACATCTTTAGATCACCACTTGATAAATCCGACAGGCGTGTTCAAAGATTAAAGCGTTTCCACGGCAATGCCCTGCCAGTGAACGAGAGACAGCCTGTCAGAGGATGTATTGATAATATTGTGCTGCATTATTGCTAAGTAAAAAACTGTAAACATCCTACCCAGAGTATTTAGGATACCAGATGAACACATCTGATGACTCTCCTGTTTACTTAATTCACCGAGGGATAAAGTATTATGCACTAGTCTGACTCCAATAATAACATGTATCTAAATCTTCTAGGCCACATCTGACAACACGGTTTTACCAAATGGAATCGTCCAAGGACATGCCTACACTGTCACAGGTGTGAAACAGGTGAAGGTTTTTTTATTATATTATCATTATATCCAGTATACATAATTTAGGTCCTGCAAATGTCTTTTGTTGATATTCAGAGTTTTGAGATAATAAAAGCTTAAAGGTGCAATACACGACATTCAGAGCATATCTATTATTCTCAGCTGGGATTGCTTCCCCACGGCTCTCACAGTGCTACAACAGAGCTGCTAACGATGCTAACAGTGCTAACAAAGTACGCGTAGAGTGTTAAAGCGGCCTTATTCTGCTTATTGGGGTTTTCCCTTCCCTGTAGTGTTATATAGGTTTTTGTGCACGTAAATGGTCTGCAAAGGCTAAAATCCCTGTGTTTCTCTCCCACACCTTCAGCCACCCCCCCCCCCCCACACACACATATGCACATTGCCGTTTATAGCACCTTTAGGTTGGCCTCTACTGTATACTCTTAGCAAAGTGTAATTATTTTCATATCCAATAACTGTGTGTTTCCTCCGGTCATGCTGATCAGATGACGAGCCAAGGGCAACCGGTACACCTGGTGCGTTTGTGGAACCCCTGGGGCGAACGAGAGTGGATCGGAGACTGGAGTGACAAGTAAAAATGACACAGTGACTGTTTCACAGAGACATTGCTTTGATCTGTTGCCTTGGGAAATAAACTGAGATTCCTTTTCAATGACAAAATAGTATTGCATACATGTTTATTGTAGCACAAAGGCAAATTACTACATTAGCTTTTGTTCATCATGTTTTAACACGCTTGTAGAAATTCTGATCAGAGCAATGGGATCCTTTCTGAAGCCTTTCACTGCAAACTCGCACAACCATTTTATAACAACCTTTAATAAACTGGTTGTACCATTTTACAGCAGACCATTACTAGGGATGCCAAGTTTTGACAGGCCTTCTACGTTCATATCTCTAAGGCTTTATCAGTTGTAATGAAAAATAATGTATTTTATTTTTACCAGTGAATGCTATGCCAGTTGCTAAAGAAACGGCATTGGTTTTGAAGTTTGCTAAATTACCAATAACTAAGGTATCCAATGAACCCAACTGAATTATGGAATCATGATGGCAGAACTGCTTCTTATTAAGGCCCCTTTAAAGACTGCTCAAATTATTTAATATATGTACTGTATGTTGTTGGAGGTTTCCAAAATGGCAAATTTAAAAAGAAAGGCAACGTAAAGGAGGCTGAGATATCCTTACAATAAGTGCCTAGTATGCATTATGCTCCAAAAACAATGGAGCCCATATTTTTCACAACGAACATTGACACTTGAAAGTTAGACACACACTCATTGCAAAGTCTTTGTAGTTATATTAACTGCAAAATTGTTGAGTTTAAGCCCAAGCGGAAATACTGTATATTTCTTCCTCAAAAGCTGTCAGTATTTGCAACAGTGCATCTGTTCAAAAAATCACGGCCACCCCCACAAGGCGCACGTTTTGGAGCTTGTGCCCACTTCAAGAACCGTTACTTGACTCTTACTGTAATGTGAAGGAACATGTATAATAAGGATGCTTCACTGATAAATCTTCTCTTAAGGTCTCCTTTGTGGCAGACCGTGAGTCCTCAAGAACGCGAGATGTGCCATTCTGTGGCTGATAATGGGGAGTTCTGGTAAGCATGCCTCAATGTAGATTTGACAAAGTTAAGTCATTTCTTTCTACAAATACAGAGTAGCAACGAAAAGCGATTGTAAACATTGTCTTACTTAAGTATTTTTCCTTTGGTGGATGAAGTGAATGAACTAAAACAACAATGAGTCATCTAAATTGATCTCTGATGTCACCAGGATGACCCTGGAAGACTTCTGTAGGTTCTATAGTGATCTGGACATCTGCTGCCTGTGTCCCGACTTCCTTGATGGAAATACATCTTGCCACTGGAAGACCTCCTTCTATGAGAACCGATGGGTTGCAGGAACAACTGCCGGAGGATGCATGAATAACATGGGTATTTACAATCTGGATGTATTCAAAGCTGCAGAATGTGGAGACATGATTTGAGCCAATTCGAAAATGTAGAGATTTTTTGTGATCTTTTTTTAATTGAATTGTAAAAATACATAATTCAATCGCAACTTAAAGGTATTCTATTATGCACTTTTTGATGTATTTTATTCATTCAAGGAGTCTCACAAAGTGTCAGAAAATGAAACCCTTTCTTTTCCTCCAACGGAGCTGATCCAGATTTACTGCGGTCATGACGACATTACTCAAATGTGGGCTGGCTTTACTTTTAACTCCTGGCAACGTTCCGCCCCAACCTATCATCCCCAACAGGAACGTTTCTGTATCAGAAACAATGCGCAACGTGTTTTGAAAGTAATATGGTCTGTGTTTACATTAGCAAGCATCGCTAACACTCAGAGCTAACACTGTACTGGAGAGAATATGTGTAAAGAAGCCGGATATAAAAAGGTACTCACCTTGTGGTAAACCCAGGAGAGAAAACATTTGAGCTCCATACTGTTTCAGAAATAATGCTTGATGTGGTTTGGAACATAATATGTTTAATCATGGCAGCATTCAGCTGAGTATCTGCTGATAGACACTCTTCTCTTCACAGAGCTCACTGCTTGCATGCAGACGCTTCAAAGGGGCGTGGCCAGCAGCAGCTCCAAAGGGGTGGAGCCATCAGCAGCTCGGGTTACATTTACGGACCGTACACACATCGCATGCTTGAACGGAGACGCTTCCCATTCACTTTGAATGGGGTGACGTTACGCTTTGCCGAACTGCATTGCGGTTCCGTTGCTTCGCTTTGCCTCCGTTGCTCGTGCTGAAAGTTGAAAAAACGTTTCAACTTTTCAAGCGTCGACGGAAGCGCCAGCCAATCAAATCATACGCCAGTGCAAGCGCTAGCCAATCAAACCGCGTTCTTGTGTGTCCGGTGCGGGAGATTAATGTGATATATTATTGTTAAAGTCAACTTTAATTATGTATAATATTATTAAATTCTAATTGTCTGGCTTTAAAATCCCCCCAATAAGCCCTCACTAACATATTACCATGTCAGGGATAATGTGCTGCTACAGGGTATAGCTCACCCGGAATGGGTTCTTTTCTCATTAATGACCCACCTATTATAGGGCTACTTACTAAATGATTGAACAATTTGACTCACAATATTGATTTTAAAAATCATTTAATTGATTCAATCCAAGTCAGTCACATCATGTTCCCTTGAGTGTTAACCTCCTGATCAGATCCTTGATCAGAGCGTCCTGAGCAACGTTCTGCTATCGAAAAAGGGCTGAATGTCTAAATTGACCAATCAGAATCGAGTATTCAACTAAGCCGTGTAGTAAACTAATAGACCTTTTTTATATATATATATATCTTTGCCTTCCAGACCTTTTCTGGACAAATCCGCAGTACCAGGTCAAGATTGATGAATTACTCAGTGAATGTTCTGGGAAACAGGGTGAGAAGAACATGCTGGTATCTCTGATGCAAAAGCCTGACAAGAGGAACAGACGCCTGGTCCAAAATCTCCACATTGGATTCTCTGTATTTGAGGTAAATATTACACATTTTGCATTTATAATATGTGGCTCATGACATTCTACAAAGAAAACAACATTCACTCACTAAGAGCCTGTTTTTTGTTGGTATACGTCAAACTTTAAACTAATTTATTTTCCTCTTATTTATTCGAAGGTGACTGAAGAAGTAAGTAAGATTTTTATCCTGATCCTCATACACAGTTCATGCCCACCTAAATTGTAAAGCTATAATATAAAACAACATGTTTATACATTATTTATGACTGGTTTTACAGTACAAGTCACTGAAGGGAAAGTTCCCAGCCTCTTTCTTCAAACCGAACAGACTTGTCTACCAAACTAAAACCTACGCAAATGCACGTGAGGTGATGGGGTTCCTGATGCTAAAGCCTGGCGAGTACCTGATCGTACCGTCCACCTTTAATCCCAATGAGACTGCCTCCTTCATCCTGACCATCCTCTCCAAGGCAGAGACCCACGTCCAGTAAGCATTCTAAACTTATAATAACTCTTTAGAGGCTTGTACAAATATATACGCAACACATAATATGAGCCTATTAAAGAGTAAATGGTAGTTCCGCAAGCAGTGTTGGGGAAGTTACTTGAACACTACAATCAATTGATAGCACATTCAATCTACATTACAACTGCAAAGCACAGAGAACCAACTCCATCACACCTGTTTAAGGTATACTTCAACCCTTAACTGAACATGTGTATCATCCGAAAACGATATCAAAACGTTAGGTTACTTGCGTAACATATTCCAATCACTTGTATATAGACTCTTATTGCACTATTTTACTATTTTACTATTTACTTACTTCTCTTTTTCTGTTTTATTGTGTTACACTGTTGGTGGAGCCTGTGACCTAAGATTGTCATCGTCATAACTACACTGTAGCTATATGTACGTATGACAAATAAGAACCTTGAGCCTTGAGCCTTGAACCCTGGTTCTCAATGACTTTGCGTGAGACGTCTGACCAGACAGCTCCTCTCGCTGGGGAAAGCGAGAGGAGAAGCTTATTTGGAATGGTTAGCTATTAAAAGGGTGAGTGGGTTAACCTACGATCACCAGCCAATCAGGATTTGGGTTTACTTCCATTCAACTGGACCTTTTACTGATTGGTAAACTGCAGACGCACCTTTTTTTCGCTCATTGAAGTTACCATCAGGTCGGTGATTGATGTACAGATTATTATTTAGGGGTTGAAGTATTGCAAACAAGCTGAGCCCAACATTTATTAAAGTAAAAGAGTGTTCCTAGGACTAGTAACTATTATGTGAAATTGTAACACCTTACACTTCATTTACTATCTCTTGCTGTTCTTCTTGACCAGAATGGCCACAAGCAATGTCCTGATGTCTCTTGTCTTTCCTTTCAGTGAAAATTCTGATGGCCATGACCACGAACATGAGGAAGTGATGGAAGAGGTGTGCAAGATTTCAATAGATAGATTATATTATTATGTTGTTAACATTTATAGCATACGAGACAAAACTGTATAATTTGAACATTATTGCATTGGTTCATCTCAAGCTGAAACACTCAATATATTGCAGGACAAAGGAACTGAAAATGAGGAGAATGACGAAAATAAGAAAAACTTTTTCCGTCAATACTCTGACAAGGTAATTGATGTAGACCTTTTACGCAGAAAAGGACAGTTACAGAGACTTTTCTTCATGCAGTGATTTTAACTACCTTGAAATATAAAGGTAACTAAAGTTATTTTTAACTCAACATGTGAGCCAAATACTAAATAACAATTTTCTTGTTGTCATTCCCAGTACGAAGAAGTGGATGCTGAGCAGCTCCAGAGGCTTCTAAATGAAAACATTCTAAAAGGTTTCAAATATGAAAGTCTTGAGTAGCACGCACTCGGAGGTTTTAGCTAAATTAAAAGTCCTGTTTCTTTTCTACTTTTATTTAGGAGACATGAAATCTGGAGGCTTCAGCATTGATGCCTGTCGCAGCATGGTTGCTCTGATGGATGTATCCTCTAATGTCTTATTCCTTGAGTATTCTTGTATAGAATACATTGCATGCTTGACATTTTTCTCCATATCGTTTTTTGTATTAAGGCGGTCTCTCACAGTGAATGCGGTTGCATAAAACACTTAGTGTTGAGTACCTGCCAAAACCTGCCTGCCCTTTTGCTAGTTTCACACTCATGAACACATTTAAAGGTCAGGCATGACACAGCATGTAGTACAGGGTTAGGTTAGACATCAATCCCTGGCAAACTGAATGGGGAGGAATTTATTTGTCTGTAAAAGAGGGTTGCACGCCCAACGTCAAAATAACTCAGTATCCATGAAAAGCTGACTGGTGGTTTCCTAATGGATCTGACATGTGCTCATTCACTTCATATCAGCAAAAGCTATAATGAGGTACGGGCATTCCGACTCTGATTTGTCGATGAAGGATCAGGATTGGGGTAATGGTATCAACGCTTTTAAGGAATACGCAGCGAGGCACGTAAGACATTGAAACGAATACTATAAATGAGAACATCAGTTTACATACTGCTTAAGGGGAAATCTCTCACAGTAAATGTAGTAGTAGTAAACCTGCTTGCCCTTTTGGTAGTTTCACACTCATTAATAGATTTAAAGGTCAGACTGAGACATGAAACAACATCTAGTAAAGTTATATACCTTCATTTTTGGTTAGACATCAATCACTGGCAAACTGAATGGAGAGGAATTTATTGGCCTCTGGAAGAGGGTCGTCATGTACAAGGTAAAAATAACCAAGAAAAGGTTCATGAAAACCAACAACTTTGAGTGATAGAGTTAGATTCTTTCCTGATTGAGAGTTCATATGTTCTTACTGTGTTCTACAAAACCCACTGTCTTCTGTTTTACCAGGACATTTTCTTCCGCACTGATGTTTCAAAGACAGGAACACTGTTAATGAGCGAGCTGAGGAATGCTCTCATGGCTACAGGTAACAATCAGCCTCATTTTGTATGTGTTCTTTTTTGCAACTAGGGCTGTTGTGGGATCGTCTTTCAACTGGAAGATTAGGGGTTGGACCCCAGCCCCTGCATTCAACATGTCGATGTTTTCTTGAGCAAGATACTTAACCCCAAGGTGCTCCGGAATGGCATGGCTAACGGATTTGTCAACATTTTTGCTTTTGTGTATACACTGGGCTTTAGTCTTAAGTCTACACTGAAAGAAATGCAGTTGGCCTCCAGGCGCAAAGTATAAAAGCTGCAGCAGCAGACAAGTTGAAGCATGTAGCAGAGAGTCTTAAAGGAAGGATTTGGTAAAGTTTTGACTAAGTATAGTACAGCATGCTTGTCTGTCAACGAAAGAAAAATAGAGCTTTACTCCGATTGTGTAATGTGAATCCCTGCTTTTGTGTTTGACTGACATTTACCTTGAACATTGAATTACTTAAACCCACTGCTGCCCGTTAGCATTTTGTATAATCCAAATGTTAACACAGAGAGTCGAAGAAAACAAACCACAAAAACAAGGCAGGCAGTTGGTAAACGGTTTCTTAATCATAATAGTTTTTTGCAGCCCTAATCAAGCCATACCTAAACTCTTGTCCTATTTTTAATGGTCAGGAAAGAGGGTCAGCGATGCCATACTGAACTTGTTGGCTCTGCGCTATGGAGCCTCCTCTGGACACATCACCCTGGAGAGCTTCATCAGTATGGTGCTGCGCTTCGACTGCATGAGCCGTAAGTACAGATGGGTAACCGATGACGCGAAACAACACTAAATAGTACCCAAACACGTATTATATTTCACTTTGAGTCTCTCTCTTGTGCTGTCACAATTTGAAATGACGTCAATAGACAAAACATGGACTACCAGGTTTACTCTTGTGGTTTAAAGTGACAGTTCTCAAGAACTAGCGGATGGTTTTCAATGAAATGTTGAATGTGTACTGGCAATCCTTTTGAGCAGTAATACTGGAAAACACAGAGAGGCTCCCGGAAGCTGGAACTGCAGTCCTGAAGGGTTATTGAGCGCTTAACCAAGGGACCAAACAATGTAAATACAGAGCAGATAAAGTGTTTACGCTGCATGCCAAAGTCAGTTTTCATGCACAGCCATTCTGTAAATGTTTTTGCCTAAACAGGGTAAGCAGTAAACTGAATCTAGAGTTAAGTTATTTTGACACTTTACAGATCGCTGTCTCTCTATCTTCCTGGCCTTACATGGCAGAGAACACTGGTCCAGCCTAATTATTTTCAGCTGAGGGCCGACAGTTCTGCTCGACTCTGTTAAGTTGACTATGAAACTAAAGCTGAGCTGGGTGGGACTCAATTGTAAACAACAGGAACTTTTAAGACTTCAATTTAACACAAAGCATGGCAAGGAAAGACAAGGCAAATGGAACCGAACCGAACTTTACAGTACAACATACAAGAATCCAACAAAGACTAACTAAAACTAGAACTTAAATGCTGAACAAATGAGAAGATAAATGCAGGAATACAGAAGGTCTGATGGTTTCAGGGCTAACGAGGAACGGGTGAAACTAAAGAGACCGGGGTTGCGGTCGAATAGTCCATTTAGCTTAGGAACCTTCCTAACGGAGTGAAATGACCCGGAAGTCCCTCAGTGGCAGCCATGATAAGTGCCGTTCCAATTCTCTAGATGATAGGAAAGGAGGTTTCAAACTTCCTTTATAACCTCCTTTAGCTTAGGAACCACTGGACCTCCCTTGACGAAAGGAGAGGAGAAAATACTGCCCCACAATGCATTGCAGCCGCAGCATTTGCCGTCACACAACATTCGACCGTTCACGGAAACAACCGATTATGACGGAGAAATGATATCATGAAAGTTACGGTGCTTATTAAGCTTTTTAAAACGTATGTGGTAAGTTGCCAAAGTGCTTTGTTTTGAACGTTCATCAGTATTATAATCAAAAAGAGAAATATGAACGTTAGTTTTTACTGAAATGATCAAATAAAGTCAACATCTCACAGTCTTTACTGAGCTGTGTGGAGTTTGTTCAACTTTTAAAAGATGTTTGAATGGTGATGTACACAGTGATAGATGTTAAGGACTAACGTTTATAATAAATACATCTGTATTTATTTTAAGATATTTTCATACAATCATACGTATTGGGATCATTTGTATTAATGTGGACCGGAGGGAGAGGGTGACGAGCATAAGTTTCACTTTCCTTTTTTATTTCAATTCCAACTTTGGTCATGAAGAATATGTTTCTCTGTTGTCCACGTTCATAAAGCAAAGCAACAGCATCAGAGCACGGTGCAGAGTCTCTAGATGAGTTTACAGTAGTCCCTCGTTCTTATTAAACATCCATGTTGTAGTCCTCTGTATAGAAAACTGTAGTTTCCATAGTTTCCCCACAGCAGCAGACGCACATTCATGACGTCCGCTGGCGCATCATAAACACGTCGGATAGTGAAAGTGCATTCGGATTCTCTAAAGTACCGCGGTCTCTTCTCCTAAGTCCTTTTGAATTCTCCTATCCACTATCCCTTAACCCCGTGACCTTTCACTCAGAGGTCAAGGAATAGGAGATAGGGTTAGACGATAGGGGCTGATTTTTGGATTATTCGACCGCAACCCTGGACAGACAATCAAAACAGGTGGGAAAACACACAAAGACAGGAAGTTAAAAACAGACACAGACATGCACAAAAAGTTTTTAAAAAACAGAGAAAAATTAAACGCAAAGTAATCATATCACTCAGATTGGCCCCTTTATTCTAGATCGGATTTTTTGAATGGCAGTGAAATATAAAAGGAAGTTGATACATCGACACAAGCTACATGTGTTGCACTGACTGGAGACCACTCACACTACCTCAGTGTGACAGCAGACCTAATTGATAAAAAATGGCAACTGCACTTGTTCGCGTTAGGTGTGTTGAAAACAGAGGAAATGCTTTTTGTTGAACCATGCTCCAGTTTGAAGTCTTGAAGTTACACAGGAGTGGGGGATAGTGGACACGGTTACCACTGTAGGAACAGATAGTGCTCGCAGTATGTTAGCGGTAGCAACATACTGAGCATATGTTCTGTGTAGCCACATTATACAGAGGGGGACCACAGGGGCTCTCTGTGACAGCTGTTTGTCAATATGACAACAATTCAGAAATCATCTTATAATAACATAAAATACCCTCTCTTTCTTACCAGCTTGTCATGCATTTTTTTATGACAACACCACCCGGGTATTTGTTTTATCCCCCCCCAAAATACAAGTAAATGCTAGAATTTCTTGACACCCTTACAGATACAGTTACTGTTTCATTTACAGTTGAGTGAGTGCTGTAATACAATGTGAGTCTTTCTCAACAGAAATCTTTGGCCAGTTGTCTAATGGGATGAACATGACTCTTCTTGAATCAGAGGTAAAAAAAAAAACATTTTCAGAGATTTTTAATATTCAAACCTGCCCAGCTGTTGATCTGGAACTAAGGGTGGAACCTCATATTGGCAGAAAATAATGTCTGTTTCAATACAATTCAATATTAAGAGTTTGTTCTAGAGAATGTTGGATTCTGGTACTACACTTTTACTTTTCTGTGATGAAATGCAATGAAATAATACTTTACCCTTCCTTAATTTGCAGTGGATGTACCTTTCGATGTACACTTAAACTGAAATGGCGGCAGGATGCACTTGGAATCACAGCAGCACATAAAGCTGAAGAAAAGTTGTGTATTTGTTTACAATCCTATTCATATGTTCACACAGAAAATAATCATTTCTGTTTGAAGGGTTGAGGTAACTTTAGGTATATTTCTTAGGGTTTAGGGCAAATATTAGATTAATAAACGTTTTCTTTAGGAATTGGTTTTGCAAGCTTTTCCAAAAAGTGAGAGACAACCCAAAGCAAGCTGACAAGAACATGCATGACATATTTTGTATACGCAAACCCCGAAAGTAAGCATTGCTCTGGTTCTGTTTTCAATTGGACTGATTCAGAAAATAATCTCTGTGGCAAACAAACGTTACTTACACATTTGGTTTTTATGATTTGTGTGTACATACAAATTCCCGTAAGTAAAAAGTTAATGTTAGGCTACAAACCAACAACACACAACATGACTACATTTTACAACCACATGCAGATGTTTAGTAATGTCAATTAGCCTAGTCTAGTCATGTAGCATAATACATTTGTTGATTACATTTCTTAGATGGATGGATTTTCAATGAAATTTGGTTCAGACATGCATTCTCCCTGAATACTTAAAAAAAATGGTATTCACATTGGTGATCCCTTACCTTTACATCTAGCCCCACCATCTGGACATACTTATAATTGTCCAAACCAAACATTTTTGATATATTTCTAACTGGCAAATCCTGGCATCCTAATATGCAAATCAGTAATAGCATATTAACATTGGGACAATGGCATGCTGACATTAGCAATTAGCTCAAAGCACCACTGTGCACAAACAAACACAGCCTCAGACTGGTGCTAGCATGGCTAATTGTTAAGTCTATAAGCTGATATTCATGATGGGATACTTCTACATTTTATGTTTTTGGTGGGAATAGACTTTGTACTTTACAAAATAAAGACATTTTCCAAACAGTATAAATATTTCTTTCTTTCTTTGCAGATTTCTTTAAATATAAATCCCTTATTAGGAAAGAGGCTCCTTGAATGTGGCACAGATAAATAGTGGCTATCGCAGGACTATCACAAGCAAAGCAATCCATTTGACTACAAATGCACCAATTACTCATTTAACTGAGAAGCACCACAACGGGTGTTTGGTGTTGAAATTGACCTGATATAGAAGCTGGTCTTATTAATTTAAATATGATAGCTTCAGCTATGAAAAATAAGTCCGTTTTGCTGCGTAGCAACGGCTGAAACTGCAGTGAGCAATGTAACCTATAATGCTGCCATATTATACAGTTTTTGTGGGTTTTTCTTTTCTTCACCAAACAAACAGTGCATTATGTAAACTAACGGCTATTTAAAGAATTAACATTCTGATAATAAATTAATATCTGATAGTTGTTATCAAGACTAATAAAGTTGAAAAATGACATCACTATATATTTGTATAGCAGTTTTTTAACGTGGCATGATTTTACTTCTCTAAATGCACAGGCCAACAAAGCAGCTACAAACTATAATGTGGGTCTTGGAAATCTGTACCACTAGATGGCGACAGATGACCTCTTTTTTAAAACATGACAATTATCCACTGCCACCCAACACAGTTTCACACTGAGACATGATCTCTTACTCTCAATATGATAGGACCAATGAATTGATGAGGATTCATTAATCATATCAGTTAATATGCTCATGACTTAAGAGCAATGACAAGCCAATGAAAATGTGGCTTAATAACCATGAATTCCTTAAACTAAACTGTTAGACTTCCAATAACAACCAGGTGAAATAATAAAGTGTATTTTCCAAACTCTCAATGTACAAACACAGTCCCTCAGCCCTGATATGTACTCCCTTTAAACCCAGGCAGACAGCAGCTGTATAATACTGCGGTACTTAAAGATTTGTGACTGATCAATAGAGTCATTTTCAGCAGTCTGAGAGATTATCCACCTCACTGCCCACTCATGACACACACATACACGCACACGGACATGCACGCACGCACAAAGACACACAGACACCCACACAGACTCACACACACGTCCTCCAGCCAACAGCCTCCTCAGACTGTCTGTGGATCCATATTTGTTTTACAGGACATTGACTGAGAATATGTTCCCTGTTTGATAATGTCTGAAAGCTCCTTCCTGTCCTTCCTTACACCAGCCTGCCATTAGCTTTTCTCCCTAAAATATGGGTTTTTATTCAATCTTTTCCATTTGATTTACATTTTGAAGGAACATTTTATCCTGTGAGGTGCATAAACTACAAGTGAATAAATAAATGCGGAAGTACACGTCGACCAAGTGTCAGTCAATTATGCGTTAAAAATTGACCGTTAGGTCACAATGGTGATATATAATTAGAGAGCGAGTTAAAATGATGATATAAGAGAGAAAAGTCACCATGTTAAAGTTAAAGTCCTTTTTTTGACACATCATCAAATACGTTGTTGTCAGAACTCTTTTTTTATTTTTACTTTTGGTCACATCCCCAAAAATGTTTCTAACATGGTCCTAATCATCTTCCGTAGTAGTCAATCGTAATATCTGATCTATTTTTTTCTGAGGCCAATGAGCTGGCGCATTTCCTTTTTTTGTGTGATTTCCTACCTATTTAGGGTTAAAAAAACATCTTGCAATTTAGACCTTTTTTTATTTTTATATGTTACAGTAGATATACTTTATATGTTCCACTGTAGAGGACGTCGGAACCATATTAGTTTGAAAAGACAGCCAAAATTAACAGATGGACTATGTAACGTATTATGGTTATAGAGTGATATTAATACAAGAATACATTCACCTTTATTTAAAACATGAATAAGTAATTGATCTGAACATTGCTGTTTATTTGGTCACTAAAAAACTAGTTTTTGGTGAATCTTTCCAGATCTTCAAAGACTTTGTAGTCAATGTACTGGGAAAGTACCTAATTGACTCCAGTCAGCACGGGCTGTAGGGTCATCTTGACTAGTTTTATGGATGTGGTCTCCATTTGACCTGCTCACAGAAACAAACTTGACATTCCTGAGGCAATTCTCATTGTTCATGGCTCCACTTAAAATAAAAACAACAATAAGACATACGTGCTACTCTTGGCCCACAGGGGGCCATGTCTTTCCAGCTCGTCCCTATCTGTCTCTCTGTCTGTATCTGTGCGCTCATGGAGCCTCCTGCAACTTTGAGAGCTCAAAATCTGAATCTCCCTGAACTATCTGGTACAGAAAATGTCTGCTTCAGTTCCGTCTCCTGCAACAATATTGAGTCATAAAGTCCATGAAGATAGTCCTGACGTCCACTAGAATGGACATTTATAAAAGAGCTGTTATTTGAAAACTTGAATTATTTAATTGCTTTCAGAACTAATTATATAGTTCCTTACATGTTAATAAACAAGAACATATATGATTTTCATGGTAAAAATTACAATTATTCAACAATATTTGACTTCTCCTGCTTCTATAAAATATTGTTTTTGGTATGCCAGCCATTTTGGATGAAAAGAAAGAGGAACTTCCCAGCATGCAATTGTAACCAATGACATATCACTGGAAAGACCAGGATGTCCTCTGTACAGTACATCAGGGATTGATAGAGTAGGCATACCTCAAAAGACTAAAGGGGGATGCATGTTAACAAATTGTCCACTACAGTGGGGCTGGGTCCCAGGAGGATATGCTCCGACAGTCCACACTCACAACAACGGCCTACAGACATAAATAAACCAGTATTGACTGTATTCGCCATGACACAGGCAGTCTGTGGTTTGTACCAGCGCTGTATAATAGATTCTCTAAATAAAATAAATAATTATCTCTATAGGGCGCTGGTTTGTACTAACCCACAGTATTTACATGGATATAAGCCCCGCCCCCTCTCCAGCGCGTCCTGTTTGAATGACAGGAGTAAACACAGCTGACAGCCGCGGTGAAACTCCAGCAGTTAGAGCAATGCGAATATTGGCATCGCGTCCGTTGTGATTGTGAACGCAGCATAATGCAGTTCAGAGACCAGACCACTGCTCTGACGCCTTTAAAGCAACTTCGAGATTTTAACAGTGTGAGGGGCCCAAATGCCATGGTGGCCGACGTAGGCTACAATTATTTGTGGGGCATGATGACGGCCAGCCGCCGTGAAAATCCCACCCTGGCCAATACTGTCCCACTCAGTCAGGTCAATACAGGTCAGTTGTTCATAGTCTACTCTAGACATCAGCAGCTGTCGGTTACAGTGAAGACTGTTAGCAATTCTTGAACCCTGAGAGCAGGAGAGACTGAAAAGAGTCACGGGAAGCTTATAAAAATTAACAGCATTTAATTACACAAAATATGCGGTGGTGTACAAATGAAATTTGCGAGAGGTGGCTCTCTCCCCATGCGTCCAGTCAGCCCATGGATGTATAATAAGAACTGGATACAGCGTGGGAGGCGGGGCCTAATTCATTCCTATGAGAGCTGCTCATTAGCGCATGATGATAAAATGGCCCACCTTTTGAGAGAGTGAAACGTCACAGATTACCCAGCATGCCTGAGAAGTACCCGTATGTGCGCTCATAGAGCATGCGTAACTTTAACCAAAATGCTCGTTCACATCAAGCACGTCAAATTGCGTACACGTAACGTTGCACCGCACGTTCATGACAGCATGGTAATGGGTTGTTGTTATCATGGATTTGATATGAACGAGGCGGCAGTTAGCAGCTAGCGGCTAGCTAGTAATGATGCTAATGTGCACATCAATCGTTATGTACTTATATTACGCTGTAACAGGATCTAGGGATATCCAACAGAGCTGCATTTAGCATGAAATAATTATTGCACTGTATATATATATATATATATATTTATATACAGTGCAATAAGCTTCTTAGATCAATACGAAGCTACAGGTACGTTAATAATGTCGGTAATATTAACTTTATTTAATACAACATTTACGGTACAAGATTTAATCATACAGCCCATGTAGTATGATAATGAATTACAGCAAACATGTGCAATATATCCATTATTACAGCTCCGTGGGATGGCAGTAAGACGATATGGATCCGTTCTTATTGTGCATCCATGGGTAAAGATAAACGCAACTCACATTGGTTTCTCAAACAGCATCTCTGTAAACTACGTGTATTCACTGAATTTCACTCTCTGCCTTTAACGGCTCGTTGTAGCTCCAATAGCTTCAGCCCCCACCCTCCCTGTGAGCACAGTGTGCTCTGATTGGTCGGGACACGTAACATGAACGTGCCGGGCGGCGCGGTCCCGTGGGTTAGATGCGCGTTCATAATGCAGAGGGAAATAACTCTCAGAATAACGTTATTAGCACATTTTTACAACTTGAGGAACAAATGTTTTTAATAAGGGCTATACAAGTGTTCATACTGGGTAGTTTATTTAGTTTAAAAAAAATTATCCAACGAGTTACAGACCACTCTTTCTCCATGTAAGTCAATGGGAAAAAGTGTTTCCGGGCCTGGCAACCAAACGGAAGTGTAGTACCGCCGGCCAGCACGAATATTTTCATCTGAGTCCGGCGCACTTCCTGGGGGCTTGAGTCAGCCGAGGTCAGGAGACGCTTCTCAATACTCAAATTTCCCCTCCTCGACTCCCCTCCTCGGTTCCCCTCCTCGAGACTTAGACCCGCCCACAGGAGATGCGAGCGGAGGACCGAGGAGGGGAATCGAGGAAAGAGGGGAAGCAGCAGAGGTTTAAAGAAATGAGAACTCCTCTCCTCTGAGCGGTCATTTTAAAGAGACGTCCGTTCATTATTACGTGGCAACAGCTGCATCAGCTGTCGAGTGTTTTGTCATAGCGCTGTATTTTATCATCTCTGTTAGATCAGCTGAACATTGTTCCCCCACATATTTACTTTGAATTCATTGAGAGTGCGGTATAATGAGACAATAACAGGCTACAAATGCGGACACACACACACAAATATATTTATATAAATATATACAATTTAAAGTATGAGAGCACTCTCATAATAACGTAACACAATCAGAGACTGGATATATCCCCCCCTCTCTCTGGTCGCTGAAATGGGGAATTTAAATTACGGGCCAAAAGTTGTATTTACAAGTAGGCCTATTAAAAGTAAGCAGAGGACACCAAACCAACTGAGACCCGTCTGTCCGCCGCATTTACGCACTGTACAACACACACCCACAGCTCCTAAAGCATAAGCCGTTGTGTATTTTATTATGTGAAGCAATGGTCTTAGAAAAATATCGACTCTTTGTTTGTAGATATCTACTAAACTAAAGCAAATAAAGAGAGTAGGCCTGTTATACTGAGTGATATATATTATACACACTGCTCTGCTTTCTGCACGGACCTTACAGCTGTTCTCTCTGGAAACATCGCGACGCGATGAAAGCAGTTTCTAAAATATATCCAGGGGATGCATGCATAGCTGTCATTGGCTGAGATAAGTCCGGCCGTGCGTCACGCCTCCACCGTTCCCGGAAATGCATCCGTGGAGGAACCATCAGTGTATCCTCGGTTATAGATCCTCCAGAGAGCCTCCTCGACGCTCGATGCTCGGTCCTCGGTGTGCATAGAGAAATGAGAAATGAGACGTCCTTCAAAATGGCGCGCTGAAATTCATTTCCGGGTCACTACCGGAGGACCGAGGAGTCGAGCAGTCGAGGAGGGGAAATTTGAGTATTGAGAAGCCTCTAGGGAGAAGAAGAGAGGGTTTGCTCTTCCTGTGGTCATCCGAGGTCTTCTCCTATTGGCCGGCGTCGTGGGGGGGGGGGGCGGGTCCAATGCAATTCCTGCCTTTTTGTTGCTAAATTACATCATTCTGGTGTCTGTGGTTATTTAAACATTCCCTAATAAACGTCAGTGTTAATCCCAGTGTGTTTAGGGTACAACATCACGTCATTTCACCTTCAATTCACGGTTTGAAAATGTAGCATTTCGCCACATGCTAATACTAACCGGAAATGAAGCATTTTCAGAATAAAAGTGTTAAGTTAATAGTTAGTGTGAGCTTCCGGTTTTTTCAGAATAAAACTGATTTAAATGAAATACTAGTATAATAGTAATATAATAATTTAATTCAAATTACGCCATATCCACATTGATTTTAATTTCTAACAAAACCAACCAAACTAAGGATCCACGAGGCTTGGTGCTTAATTAGTTTTTTAGTGTTGGACCCTCCACCGCCCCTCTCATTTCTATTCCCCAGGCAGCCCCTCGCCCAGCCAACAGCCCGACCCTGAAGCCCGTTCTCACGCTCAGCCCCCTTGATTGATTTCCAGGGAGCGACGCCGGCTGGCCGGAGCCCACTGGCCGAGCTAGAGAGCGCCTGTCCCCGCAGAGGGGCCGGCCAAGCCCGGGGGGAGAGGATGGATGGATATATGAATCTCTCTCCGATCTCTTATCAGCCAGAGCAGATACACCTCTCACACACACACACACACACACACACACACACACACACACACACACACACACACACACACACACACACACACACACGCAGAGGGAAAACTATGCCCGAGGTATTCCCACCGCCAACAAAGACGCAGATAATCCGACACTTCAGCAGGGATCGGTCATTAGTGTTCTTAAAATATATGATGTGTATCTGAATCCCCACGGATGTTGTTTCACTGCATTGACTCCAACACACACACATCTGATCTCCTCTTAAATACAAACATATCGGTGAAAGGTAAAAAGGGCATTGTTTTGAGGAAATAAGAGGGGAAATATCACTGACAGACGCTCATCATCACCGTGGGAATTCAGCAGGAGAAATGGCTGATAAAACACACTGGAATGAAATGTGAACCCAACTTTTCCTTATATAAATTATTAGAGTAAAAACTGCAGTCCTCAAAAATGCCAACAATATTAATATAATCTAAATATTTGCAACTGGATTTTTATTTCAAGAACCACGTGAGCCTCATCCTGACGGAATGACGAGATTAGAATGGTCAGATAAAATATAAAATGAGTATGCTTAAAACATGGTATGAAACATATAAGTAAAAATAACATTGATACGCATAACTTCATGTTCATGTATGTTGTTGGTTGATAGCTCGAAACACTAGAACGCCTCATTAGATGTCATCATTTAAGAATTTAAAGTGAAGGCACGTGTTTTCTTAGTTGTTCTTATTCAAATAGAATGACATCGTTTATGAAGTAATTTTTGGAGTAAAACTGAACCGAATCTCCGCTGAAGTTCCTCGCAGTTGTTAAATAACGCTTTCAGTCATTGCTCGATGCTTTACTTTAACCCTAATATTCACTTTAACATTCGTTTGAAAAAGTAATACTCTAATTAGCCTACTAATAAGCTTGTATTTTTGGGGGAAATGTCTACGGTGTATTTACGATATCCAATTAAATTATTATTAAAAATAAAGAAAAACATTGATACGTTTATCTTCATGCACGTGGGTTGATAGCTCACAATTACACCAGGAAAGCCTAATTGGACTTCATCATTTTAGATTAAGCATTTAAAGAGTCTTCTTGGTTGTGTTTATAAAAGATAGGAAAATAAAAAAATAAGTACTTTTTGGAGTAAAACTGAACCGAATCTCCTTCTGAAATTCATCGCAGTGACTAAATATTTTCTTTTAGTCAATGGTCGTTCCACTTCCTCCCCAATATGTATAGGCCTATATTAGTTTCCAAAAGTGAAGAGGCTACCTCTAATTAGCCTTTATATTTTGTTGGACTTTTCTTCAACATATATCTAAGTGTTCCTCACCAGGGCAGGGATACAGATGTCTCTCCCTCTCGTCACACCTGCCCCCCCTCTCTCTCCCTCTCTCTCTGACACTTCAAAGCTGTACTTGAAAGTGAGCTCGAGACAAGAGTTGTTGTTCTCTCGCGCTTGGTGGAGCATCATCGTCATCATGCCTCGAGGATTCTTGGTGAAGAGAACCCGGCGATGTTCGGGTCACCGGTCACGAAATACCAGCAATAACCAACCTGGAACATACTACGGCGACAGGAACAACAATAACTCCGAAGGGATCGAACCGGAGTCAGTGAACCAGACCGACGTGTTGAACGGTGTCCTGTCTAAACGGACAGACGGATGGTTCCCGGTATCCCGCGAGGACTCCGCCGGTGTAGGAGAGGCGTGGAGCCCGCAGGTGGAGTCGGCGCTGGAGGCAGAAGCCGACCGCAGCGCGCAGTTACCCGAGACCGAGGAGCAGGTGAGCGAGGTGGACGTTCTGACTCCCGAAAGAGATTTCTCCTGCTTCTTCCCGCCTCCTCCTATACCCCCACGCGAATTGACAATAACGTCTTGCAGCCCCGTTAAACCGGTCGGCACGAGGCTGCTGGAACAACACGAGGAAGGAGAGAAGCAGCCGTTTTTAACCGGTAAATGCCTCACATCACCCCCGGTGTTGGAGTTACCGGAGCTGCCGTTCCTGGTGAGCTCCACTCCGACCTCCGCTTCTATCGAGAGACTCCTGGCGAGCAGCAGCCGCCACGCACAGTCCTACGGTCACCACGACACATATGACCCGAGTATGGGGCACCTGTTCCCGCCCCTGACACTGATGAACCAGCACCAAGCAGCGAGGAAACGCGCCTTCCTCGAACAGGACCAACGCTTGAACAACAACAGGCACAACAAACAGTCAAACCCGCCAAAGAAACCAAAAGTCAACCGGAAACTAAACTTCGAGGATGAGGTCACGACCTCGCCGGTTTTGGGTCTGCGGATCAAAAAGGAGAGCCCCGAGCTGAGGAGACAGCGCGAGAAGTCTGCTCTCAGCGGGAACAAGCCACTTGGAGAGTTCATCTGCCAGCTCTGTAAAGAGGAGTACCTCGACCCCTTCTCCCTCGCGCAGCACAAGTGCTCCCGCATAGTGCGCGTGGAGTACCGGTGTCCGGAGTGCGACAAAGTCTTCAGCTGCCCCGCAAACCTGGCGTCCCACCGCCGCTGGCACAAACCTCGCCCGGTGAACAACCAGGGAGGAGAGACTCAAACAAACAAGAGTCAGCCGTTAAAGGAGACACGAGGGCTCATTCAGCACGAGCGGCAGCCGGTTGACATGGAGGGCAAAGAGAACGAGCTGCTGCGCATTAACACCAACCAGCACCACGGGGCACCGGACAGCTCCCGCATGAGGCGCGAGCCCTCCCTCTTGATGCTCCATGGCCGGTCCCGAAACAGCCCCGACACCGACAGTCTTGCTCCTCCTCACTATGAGCACTCTCTTCATTACCGGAACCCGGTGGAAAGTTGTTTGGAGGTGAGAGCGGCAGACAGCCCACCCTCGAGCCTGTTTCTATTGAACGGTAATTCGGAAGAGAGCGTGGACCTGTCGCAGCAGGAGCGGCCGTCCTTCGCGCTTCCCGCTTTACCGTTCGTGCAGTCCCTAACGGAAGAGGAGGTTTACGACTGCAGGTATTGCGGGAAGAAATTCCGCCGACAAGCTTACCTGAAGAAACACCTTGCCGCGCACGAGATGACAGCACGAGCGTCACCGCCTCCACCACCTTATAACCAGGCGCGCGAGACCAGCGGCCAGGTGTTTCTGTGTCACCTGTGCGGCGCGCGCTTCCCGTCGGGTGAAATCAGGGACAAGCACCGTATGTGGCACGCGATGAGAGATGAGTTACTGGCGGGAACTTTGGGAGGAGGACTCAGACATGAAGTATTCCACGCGCAAGGAGACGAGAGCGGCACCGGAGAGAGCGAGCAGCAGCAGATCTTCACGTGCAAGCAATGTCCGTCAACTTTCTTCAGCTCCCCGGGTCTCGCGAGACACATCAATAAGTCTCACCCGATCGAGAACCGGCAGGTGATGCTGCTGCAGATGACCGTGCGACCATAATACGCTGTAAAGACTCTTAAACAAGAAAACTGATGATTTGGTGAAAACATTCCTTCATTAATAGTCATAAGGGAGACTCTATGGAATTTGACCTTTAATTATATCCATTCACATTAAATAAATGATTAATTTTAGCTTATTGTAAAGCAAAGTTTATTTTTGTTGTGGTCAAAAAGCAAAATGTGTATCACTGTACGACAGGAAGTGGAGTCACTGTTTCTGTTTAAAGGTCAGTAATCATCTTGACTTTGTTTCAAAAAGGCTTAGAATGTAGTGATAGATGAACCCATTCAAAAGCAAACGGAAACAAAAAACGTTCCACAACCACTGATGTCATGTAAAAAAACACCTAATGTAATCTTCAACAGGATGATCAGTCTATTCTACAAGCAGTATTGTAATATGAAAATAATAAATACAACTTTAACAATGGGACATTATCCTTCAGGTGGCAGATCTAAAATAATGAAATAAACTAACAGCAAGATTATTATTACTGATGCAATTTACAGTGAGCTATACACTGAAGTCTGACATTAAATTAAATATCAATAATTGTCTCTATAATAATTCTCAGACAGTATTGTGTCTTATCCGTATTGGCACAGAGGAAGCCATCTCTCCAGCTTCTCCAACATGCCCAGCACTCTGTAAATGATTTGACATGTAATCACAGAAGCAGCTGTTAGACTGGAGAGTGGGGACAGAGGGAAGTTTGATAGAAAAGGCCATTTTGATAACTAATTAGAGCAAGACGGGGTCATTTGACTTGCTATACTGAAGCAGATAGACAGGCTACACGTGGCAGACATCTCAACACATTCCTGGGGCAAAGTAATGAGATTATATTGAAGTTGCGTTATAACTGGAGACAGAATCAATGTCCTAACTCTGTTACAAAGACTATTTCATGTACAGTGAACAATACAAAAGAAGATTGACTGTAATATGCCTTTTATAGTAAAAGTGCCATATGTTTCTCAGCTCCAAAATATTTTCATACAAAAAAGGAACATTTAATGCTAATAGTTTAAAAAAAAGTATTTCATCTTTATTGATTATATATAACTGTTGAAATATATCCTTCATGATGCTTAAGTGTATTTGTGATTCTGTGAAGCTTTTACTATTTTGATATGTTTAATTGATATGATTGTCAATAAATGGTGCGACAGTATGATCAATGGACTGATTCATATACTTTTGAAGCTGTACACACACGATAAATGAATGGGTCTGGCAGGCAAGTGGTACGAATCATTTATTGTCAAATCCCATCATCGCACATCCACGCTCTCTGTCTGTGTCCAAAAGAGACGTTACAGGTTTACATAGTACAGGTGTGACATATGGAGTGTGTGTGTGAGCGTAATACAGCTGGCAACACATGCAGGAAGTGCTGAGCTGGTGTCATGCAGTATGTACAGTCAGTAGTTACATGCACTCTGGACAACAGGCCACAGAGCTTTCTGAATGTTATATATATAAAGGAAAATAATGTAATCTGAATTTTTTTTACCCCTTATTTAGACAAGCAAAGTTTGGTTTAGGGTCGCATTGAAACATTTTTTAAAATTGAGATTATTCACAATTCCAAAAAGTACAAATGTGTGTTTTTTTTAATCTTCAATTCTTCTCAGAAATACATTTTCACATGTGGCCTTAATCCTTTATCTGTAGACTTTCAGAGTCACAATGCTCCAGATAAACAGTCCAGGAAAGTTTCTATGAATAGTTTGTAAGGATGAAAGGTTAATCATTTGTTTGCATACATTTTGGTTGCTGCTAATTACGTTTAGAGTAAGCAAATCATTTCGAGGTCATTATAAAACACTATAATTCTCCGTATTATTTACAATCTGTAAAACTAAATTGGAAATGTACCATCTTCTCCATGGGCTTTTGAAAGCAGCACCATAACTCATAATCAAGCACAGGTATGTTTAATCCAAAGGGAGTGTGAGGCTCGGCGTGTCCAATCAGGATGGAGTGAGAGGTACAGCATGAACAGATCAGAGTGACCACCAATCAATGGTGCTCCAACCTCAGCAATAATAATAATTATTGTAACAGCAATAATTTAAAGGGCCAACTCAGAGTTCAGCAGAATTCAAATATTCACGAATAAAGTTATATTCACCACACAGAGGTGCAACAAGTGTAACAATCCCTTTCATTTCTACAGAGAACCTGAAATGAAAACAGTAACATCAAATAAACTTTAGTTTAAATACAGAAGAAGCCATCATGTAAAATAAATGTTGGAACAGCAGCTGAAGACAATTCCATTTTTAGTAGAGCTAACTGACGGAGTGCTGAAATAAGGATGTTAAAAACATAAGTGGTAGTGTTACTTGTTATAGATTGTGATTACATACGGGTCCCCTTTGTCAAGAATGAAGCAGGGGGATGAGTCTCAATATAAGATTGGAGTTATAAAAAGAAAAATAACATAAGAATTCATATCTAAATGATAAGTATCTTTGCTTCCCCCCCTCTTTGGCTGTACACTATCTCTCCTTTATACACAGTTTCCACCTTTAAACCACTAAGGTGTTGAAGTTATCTTTTCAATAACAAAACCTGCCACAAAGCACAGAAGAGGATTAGAGCCACATCAGGGAAAGGTTGTTTTTTTATAATATAGTTCTGACTTTTTTCAAAGAATTCTTAAATTAATCTCAGAATTCTGACATTTTCCCAGAAATTCTAAATGTACTCTCAGAATTCTGATTTTAATCTCAGAACTTTTTTTCATAGAATTCCATACATTTTCTCAGAATTCAGATTTTGTTTCTGAATTTGATCTCAGAATTCTGAATTGAATCTCAATATTTTCATTTTAAAGTCAGAACAAAAGAAAATAAATCCCTTTAGGTCCGATCTCAAAAAATATTTTCACATGTGGCACTAATCCTCTTCCGTACATTATACTCAATGAAAACCGAGGACAATTATGGCCTAAAACTTCCCCAATGTGGCAACATTGAAGTAAAGAAGGGTCCGTGACCTGAAATTAAATTGCCTTGCAAATGTAAAAAATAAATGAAATCTTGTAGTGTCTATCCATTTTAAGCAGATACCTGGTCTGAGGTCTTTGGCAGCTACTCTCAGTATATACACCCACTGTACACATCCCATTAGATGTTCATATAGCTACTATATATATCTATACTCATACATATATAGATATACAGAATATAGGAACAAAAAGAATAGCTGTGGTTCCATTGCATCAGATGACAAAGTGACAAATAAAATACAGCAATGTTCTTGTTCGGGTCCAAACACATTTCAAGAAAAAAAATCATCAGTGCTTGTCCACATTTTACAGCATAAGCAAAACAAAACTAAATGGAAGTGCTGCCTCTTGTGTTCTATTTTGACAAATAATTCAACTATTTAACACTGATTCTCTTCACTTTTTGGCTTTAAAGCATCCACAACAAAACATCTTTCTTTCATTGTAAGCAAATGAATGAGTTTCTATATACAATTCATACTAATAGAAACCGACTCAAGCCTAAAGCTGTGCTGAGAACAAAAATATACTTTTATCTTGCTTCCTCCATGCAACACTACAGATGCACACGTTCGGATCTTTTCATTTTTTAATATATCAAAACTCGTGGTTCTGTCTGCGCACACATGGACTGACTATAGTACAAATATACAGATATCAACCTCTGCTTATATTCCTCTGTGAACATGCTCTAACCCTTTTCTAAAATGGCACAGATTATTATAAACTAATACTGCACTTGTTTCTACTGTGGCAAAGGTCAGCATGCTGGAGCAACTGCGAGGATATACACAGCCATTTTCAAAAAAAAGTTACAGTGAGGGCTTTAAGTCTTATTGGCCGATCCGGAGGAGCGTCGCAGCTTCATGGACATGCGGCTCTTGCTAGTCCGAGGAGACATGGGGGACGCCGAGTCGCTCCCGGCCTCCCCAAGAGCCGGACTTTCTCCCCGAAGAATCTCGAGGCAGGAGCCTGAGGAAGCGGAGGAGGGAGGGATAAAGGAGGAGAGGGAGGAGGCAAATAAGAGAGTAAGATAGGAGACTATATAATACAGCAATAAGAAAATGACATCACGTCCAATCATGATCTACTTAGGCACAGACAGGACACACACCCACACCCACACACACGACAGAGCGACACAACACACACACAACACACACACACACACACACACACACACACACACACACACACACACACACACACACACACACACACACACACACACACACACACACACACACAGGACAGAGTGATGGACACACACAGGACAGAGTGATGGACACACACAGGACAGAGTGATGGACACACACAGGACAGAGTGATGGACACACACAGGACAGAGTGATGGACACACACAGGACAGAGTGATGCACACACACAGGACAGAGTGATGCACACACACAGGACAGAGTTATGCACACACACAGGACAGAGTGATGGACACACACAGGACAGAGTGATGGACACACACAGGACAGAGTGATGCACACACACAGGACAGAGTGATGCACACACACAGGACAGAGTGATGGACACACACAGGACATAGTGATGCACACACACAGGACAGAGTTATGCACACACACAGGACAGAGTTATGCACACACACAGGACAGAGTGATGGACACACACAGGACAGAGTGATGCACACACACAGGACAGAGTGATGGACACACACAGGACAGAGTGATGGACACACACAGGACAGAAAGCCTAGACAAACAGCAGTGTATTTGTTTAAACATAATAAAGGCAGCTGCAGCTGATTCAGGACGCTGCTGCTCGCTAACACCAAGGAAGTGGATCACATCACTCTGAGGTCTTTAAACTTTTTTTAAAAACAGTAATATTTGAAAGTCCATTTGACAGGATCAAATGGACTTTCAAATATTACTGTTTTTTGTCATTATCTGAAATAAATGTATGTTTATTATCTGTATATTTTTCCCCCTCTTCTTCTGCTTTGTGGTGTGTAATTGTATCTTCAAATGTATTCCATTTGACTGTATGCCATGTAAGCAATAACAAAGTGTAAAAGTGCAAAGAAAAGAAGAAAATACAAATCTATATTTAAATTATAATATACTAGATAGGATTTAACATATATAAGATACAGCTCTGCCAAAATCTATTTCACTGTACAGACCAGTCTTTTGTACTTCTTGCTGTGTACATTTAAAAAAAAAATTGTTTTAGCATTTCCAGTTTTGTAACCCTCTATATTTTCATTGATTGTAAATACTTTAATAAAAGACAACAATAAATAGCAATTTCTACTTGAGCTGTTGGCAAACTACACCGTCAAATGTAACTAAAAAGAAGTAAATGTGACTATTGGGTCTAAAGGTGATACTTTAAAACGTACATCCTACATGAGGGAATACCTACAGGGTTTTCTATCTAGACATCCATGAATCATACCATTCACAGCTAGCATGGAGAACCTTCTGCTTCAGACCCTTCCCCTTCACCCTGAGCAGGTTAAAGCTGTCTACTGGTTTAGGGACCATCATACACATGACACTATGCTCCTCTTCAGGAGGAAGAGGAGGAGGAGCAGGAGGAGAATAGAGGAGAGGAGGAGGAGGAAGAGGAGGAGAGTAGAGGAAAGGAGAGGAGAAAGTAACAAAAGAGAAGTGAGGAAAGAAAGTGTAGGAAAAGAAGTAAGGATTTGAGAGTAAAGGAAATGAAATAAAAGGCAAAAAGGGATAGGAGAGGAAAGAAAAAGGAAAGGAGGGAAGAGTTAAGGATTGGAGAGGAAACAAAAGGAAGAAAGAAAGGAAAGGAGGGCCAGTAAAAACCGAGGCGAGAAGGTGGAAGCACGGAGGATACAGGAAAGAAGGAAAGGGAGGAGAAGGGGGAAGCACGGAGGATACAGGAAAGAAGGAAAGGGAGGAGAAGGGGGAAGCACAGTGGATACAGGAAAGAAGGAAAGGGAGGAGAAGGTGGAAGCACGGAGGATACAGGAAAGAAGGAGAAGGTGGAAGC